ATACACAAACCAAGACTTAACCACTTGTCCTCGGAGAGTCACTGAAGTGTCGGCTTGTCACACACAATTCGCCTGCACCAGTCCAAATACATGCCAGAATCACCATTGAAGATTTTTGTCTGTAAAAATGTTTAGATATTCATGTTGTATCAGTGGATTTTTTAAGACAATTAAAAAAAGTTGCTCTTGGAAGATATTGAAGATGGCACCCATGGTTGTGTTTTGACTCATCATAACAATGCTTAAGATAATAAGTGGCTAGGAATGGAACAACCCATGTGTTGCATATAGGAGCAAGTCTTAAAAAAACAATATATTATTTTTGTTGGTATTTGAGGAATACATAGTTATATATCATGTCAAGTATGCTTCATCAGTTATAATAAAACTGAATATCGTAACAGATTATCAAAAGCACTAGTGTAATAGCTGTAACAACCATGTACTGTAATATATGTGATTATTTTATCTGTTTTCCATATTTTATGGCTTTGATGGTCAGCATTCATCAGGGTCAGAAAGGCCACACAGATTTTGTCCCCTATGCAGGCAAACCTGTTTATATAGCCTTTACACAGGGAAATGGAGAAAAGTGGCCTTTATATAAAGGTTCAATTTCTATGAGTTGTATTACATGTGGACACCAATATATCTGGCCTTTGTAGATAGTTGTTTGTTATAAACAGCTAGTCTCTCTAAGTAGGTTTGAATATACCTTAATCAAGACATCTGTCCAGTGTGTATTATATCCTTTTTGTAGGAACAATGTTTGATGGAAGCTTTATACTGTTTATTTTATCTATCTTACTGCTGTCTTAGCAATTTTATACTTAAGAAATTTTAGAATTTAGTTCAGTTGAAATGGCCATTTTCGGGTCACTTCATCCATTTGTTGATATCATAATCGATAGAATACTGCTTCACATTAATTTAGCCTTAATTGACCTGGACACTAGGGAAAAAGTTTAGCCTTACAGATATAAATATATCCTGCTATGGACATTTAATGCGTTATAGAATTAACCATCACATAAAACAGTTAGCTATCAGGTTTTAAAGCCTTAATGACTTGTAACTGATTGGGATCAGATTATTGATTGTTTCGCCTCTGCTAGCCTTGCATGGCCTAAGGATGGTGTTAGGGATAATTTTCTCTTTACACCGAGATATTTTACATTGCACTCAGAGGCCTAACATGAAATGACACATTTTGGCCCGTTGTGTTTAAGTGATGTGTTTTTTGGTGTTACTAACAAGGAATTGTCTCTCATTTCTTACAAAAATCACTTTAACGTTGGTGACAATTTCCTCATGATTGTCACCATTGTCTCTGTAGTTTCACATGTCCTGTAATATTTAAGCTTTCTTTTAATCAACAGATTAATGATATGGATAGAAAATGTGGAATGTTGCTGTCAGGGATTCCTTAATCTACTATCCATTTAACACGAGATCTGCAGACATAACAAACTCACCATCTTTTCAGGAAGAAGTGCTTGGATCTTAGTTTGATATACAGAATTGTCACCCAGAAAATCAAATGCTAGGTTTTCTCTTTCTATTGGTGCTATCAATTTTAAAATGTACTTTTGCTAAATATGATTGTATGAATTTTATAGAAATATAGTATATACCCAGGGTACATACAGACGTGAGATGAATATTTAGAGGGTTTTAACAATGGGAAGTTTTCTATAGACAGATGGTGTTAGGATCACTTGTCATCTCAAATCCCCAAGAGAAATGTACTTTTACATGTGTGAGCTAATTTATTAATGAAATTCACTCTAGATTCTATATTGAATAATTAAATGTATCATCAATAGGACAGCTAGGAGTCCGGTAATCATGACTGAACAGAATAGCCTTTTTCTTTCACAGTTGGCAAAACCCAAAGTAAAACCACTGCGTAGGTAACTGACTATTACATTTGATTACTCATAAGAATTTTCTCATATTCTGACAGTATGCACAATGATTGAACATTTTTTGATGATAAGCTTGCTGGCAGTGTGTCTAATATTGATGAGAAGTGCAAATGATTCAGCCCACAAGTTCAAATCAACCTGTGACGGTAACATAGTCTTGTTCCTCTGAAAAAAACTTCAAGTCAATAACCATGACTATCCCGACACTCCTTCTATCTTAAGTTAGTATTTCTTCGTCGGAAGGCGATGTTCATTGCCTTCGCCCTTAACCTGCTGTCAGCTTTAGCATATATATCAATATTCTGAAAGATAGTTCAGATACATTGGTGATTTAATAGCAACTTGAGAGTTCTGGTTTCTTTCAAGTCAAAGAAAAGAGATTCAAATAATCTATAGATGCACACTAGTACAGTCTTCCTTTAAGTATCAAGTTGAAATATCATTTAACATACATATTTTTCCATTCAGCAAACAAATTGAAAGATTGTTGAAAGGCTTGTGTCTTTCCTGTATTTGACAATAATTGCAAATCAAGTTAAATTTGGGGGAAACAAGTTGTTGGCGGGGATAGAAGATCCCGAGGATTGTTATGATATGTTTCTGTGGAAGATAAGCAGATCACCTGGGGAAATGTGAAAGGCGAGAAATATAAAACAATTTGCATAAAGGTGTTTCGGTTGTCATACAAGTATCTTAGATTTTCTTTTAAAGAAATTTTTATTTTCAATTATTCTTACAGCAACATGTAAAATTATATAAAGCATTAACTACTATGTAAAAATTGCTTAAGTGTAGGTGATATTAGAACTGGTTTTGTATCCTGCTAAGAATACTCAACTAGATTCATTTTGTACAACACAGAATTACAATTAATTTTTAAATTATACTATCTATTACATATATACTTTTCTAATTGGCAGTTATGAAAGAACATCCTTAAATAAAGTCATGTATTTCCGGTTGCATTAAAAAATAATGATTGTCTCAATTTGAGCATTTTTTCATGGGAATGCCAGCCATACATATTTAGATGTCTCGTGATGCAGCTTCAGAGATTGGTAAAAGATCTTGGAGATAATGTGGGAAGATGTTACATCATTTATGCTGCCTAATTTAAAATCAATTTTTAAAGGAAGGTTTTAATTTGATTTAAATTGGACCGTGGACTTTAGTGTATCTGTATGGGAGACAGATCTGTTTAAGTCTTGGTATGTATTCAAGACTTGTAAACTGCCACCTCCATGTCCCACTCTTCCCAGCGATACACACATTCATCAGTACCTAACAACTACAGTGTATTGCCATGAAAAGTTTGTAATGTTCTTTAGTGGCAACCATTTAAGTCTATGTTGCCCAACTTTTCTACTTTAGAATTTCATACCAATGGAACATTTGGGAAAGACTTTTACTGTCTCTTTGCTGCCAAACTGCTTATTCATGTGTTTCTGTGTTGTTTCATAACATGAATGTGATAGACATTACAAGTGCACTTTGGTAGGTAGTAAGTTGGGTAGGATCAGCATTAGAGTGCATATACTGGTGCTTCAAAACCCAATTAACCCTTCATTACAATAACTACTTTCGAGCGTATTTGGTATAATATGGTGGATGCCAGCATCTTGATTGGTTCAGATATTCTCCCCGTCTTGTACTTTCCTAAGTCACGGGATCACCAGTTGGAACATCGAATTGTGCTTGAAGCAGCCTCTAAATTGCAGAGATATAGTAGAAAGTGCAGGCCGAGAGGAAATATACACATGGTCCTATAGTGATCAATAACAATGAAATTAGGGCTGCAAGGGAATGGACGCATCAGGGAGCTATAGGTCATTTGATGTGGTGCAGCACCATGTTATGTGTACTACTGTGTTCGAGGTATGACAGAATATATCTGATAATGGCGTTTTTTTACAAAAAAATTTTATTTCTGAGAGCATATAGTTTTATTGAAATTTTCAGATATGACCAATGTGGCAAAAAGGCAGTGTTTTTCTACAGTTGGTTAGTTTATATCATTTCTTTTGTTTTGTCATTCATTTGGAGACATTTATGTTGGTGAAATATGGACATTTTGTTTTGTGTATAGTTTTTAACACTTTGAGGTGATTTGGAGAGGACAGGATCAGTTATTAAAGTAAGAATGACAAGCAGTTGAGGCTGAAAGCCTCCCCAACACTAGTCCCTATCACTCATACTTTGAGGTGCAAAATGAGGTGCAAAAAGCAGGCACCAGTTTGCCTAGGCCACTACTCACATTACGCACCAGATTATTAACATTGGGCAGAAGGAGTTACCACCAATCTGATTTCAAATAGACAACATTCTGGCTGGTATGCCAACCTCTGGTAGTAAAAGACGCTCAAGACAATAATGTCCATATGGTTTATAAATTCCAAGTCTGAATTCTGGAGACAAAAGTTTTTACAGCATACATATCTTATTTGTTTCAACTTATCACTGCAGAATTACATTTTATACACATTCTGACAGTGGTAGATGTAAATGATAATAATGAATGTGCTTCAAATCCCACTCTAATGATGGGCCAATGCAAAACCAACAGCCGTCTCTAATTGTATTAGGTTTGTACCTGTGGTTTATATACCTGATACCACAACAAAAACAAATAGGCTCCTCTAAAATTCTTTTTGGATGTTTAACGGATTTTTTGAGAGAGAAAAAAGTTCTATAGATTATTTAAGGAAAGGATGTTAAACAATTTTTTTTTTCAAAGCTTATCAAAAAATATTTAAAGCACTTGTCCAACACCAATTACTCTCTACATTAAAAGTTTATAGATATATCAATTTTCATGGTCACAAAGGGCAAATGCAGAAATGTGATTTTAGGTTGGATTTGGAATTTTATTTTTTTATATCAAATCAAGTGAAATAGACTTTTTACATGTATTAGACTTTAAGCTAAGCTGATATATAAATTCTGTTATATTTGCAGCATTGAGGTGAAGGCCTAGATATGAATGTTATTTTTTTTAATCAAATGTGGTGAAATAGACTTTTTACATGTAGTAGACTTTAAGCTAAGCTGATAAATATTCTATTTTATTTGCAGCATCGAGGTGAAGGCCTAGATATGAATGTACAGAGTGCCTGGGATCAGGGAGTGACAGGCAAGGGTGTTGTCGTGACAATATTAGACGATGGAATAGAGAAAGATCATCCAGATTTAGCACGAAATTATGTAAGTCATTGAAGGCCTACCTGTAAGGTTGTGATATTAAGTCATACCTATGTTGTAATTGTAAGGTCAGATGGACACGCTATTAACCTACATACTTAGGTAAATGTAAGACCAGGTAAGTTATGCTCTATCTGCATGTGAAGAAAAAAAGGGTATATCCATCAGATTTATGTCCTCGCCATGAACTATTAGATATAGGATGGTAAACTGCATTACATCATTCTTCAAATATCCATTGTCGAAAAAAGCTTTTTTTGACAAAAATAATCGTAAAACGTTAATAGCTTAGCAAGATGGTTGCCATCAAATTAAATTATTTAAGGAATCTGCTAGTTTGGAATTCAACACTTCGAAAAAATTAATAAGGTTCGAAATATTTTGGAGATACCAACAGGTTTTAGTCGAAGTTTTTGGAATTTGTATCCATACCTATGAGTAATTAAACAATGTACTTTGGTTAGTGGGAGGGGTACTTAGAGGGAATGGGCCATCATCCCAATGGACCTAAGCATCTGTTTTAGATATTAATTATAGTGTAAGGTGTCTGGGATTCCATGGTGTCAAGATCTACAGTGATAAGAATATCATTGGCACATTGCTTGTTTACATCTTGTAGAAGTCTTCCTTGGCTTTCTCACAGAGGATGATCAAGTACCCCTAGCACAAGAGGGGTTGTTGTATTGGAAGAGGGCACCAACTTTAGAGAAAATGTAAACACTTAAGTGAGCTTATGCAAGGTGATGACAGTGTGTTAGATGCAGTGATGAGATATGTTAGTGGGGATGAGGAGGACCAAGAGAGAATAAATGAGGTGTCAGTCTACGGCTATCAACACCTACAGTAGTCGGCCTGACAGGCTTGAAAATGTCAGCAGGCCTTGGCAGGTTTGAGGCTGCTGACAAATCGAGCAAATGTCATAAACAAACAGACCCAAGTAAATAGTTTTGAAATAATTTAGGATTGGGTTTATTTTTAAGTAATTTAATAGCTACTATATAAATGTAAAGTAAACAATGTTTATGTACATTACTGATGGAAAATTATTTTGAAATGGAATTGACAAGAAAATTTCAGTAAACATTAGCCTGGCTTGCAAGATATGCTGAGAGAGAAAACACCCTGTCTGTGTGGTTTAGATTTGTACAACTATATAATATAGGCTATTTATCAGATCCTGTTGGAGATACAAGTCTACAGCATATCTTGAATATTAGTTCCCTACTGGTGGGGAAGGACAAGGTTGTCTGTCCATCCATCCTCACATCTGTGGAAGTTTTCAGGCTCTAGCAGCTTTATTACTTGATGGATTTTCATCATATTCACAAAAGCATCAACATATCTGGGACAAGTGTGAGTTTCAGGGTTGTTGGGTCAAGATCAAAGTTACTGTTATTATTTTATAGAAAATCATGGTCAGTAGTCGAGCAGCTTTATTCTTTAAGGGATTCTCAATAGTCTTCACACACTCATTAAGCATCAAATTATATTGGACAAGTTTCAGAGTTGTTGGGTCATGGCCACTGGTGCTATTTTTAGAAAATCATAGTCAGCAGTCGAGCAGCTTCATTCTTTGAACGATTCTCATCAAACTGCACACAAACATCAAAATATATTGGACAAGTGTGAGTTTCAGGGTTATTGGGTCAAGATCAAAGTCACTGTTACTATTTTTAGAGAACCATTCTTAGCACCATAGACATTCTCATCAAACTTCACACTTATTAAAAGCACTGAAGCTTTCTTTGAACAAGTTTCAGTTTCAGGGTTGTTTGGTCACCATGCTTAGAAAATCGTTATAAGTATACTAGTAACCACATTCCGTATGAATTTTTTATCAAACCTCACACACTTACAATTGTCCATAACATATCCATGGCACATTAGATTTTGCACCCCTAAGTAATAGAATCTCGGTAGCAATGCTACATTGGTAAGTTGTAACCAAACAAATACATTTATGTATTGAAATACTTAAGATATATTGAAATGTGCTCATACTGTGACATTTATCCAATAAAGTGATCAGTAAAATACCGTTATCTTTCAAAAAGATAATTACAAATACAACCTCAAATTCGCTCGCCGGAAATGACAGATGTGTATCAGAAGCATGTCTACACTTCCATTTCTGATGAAATCATTGAATCACAGAGACACTAGAGGTAGCCTTGAAGTGCACAAATTTTACGTAAAGACATCATTCAGAACAAGAACGACATTTTGATGAGAAAAATAATAAGATAATGGTTGATGTTTATGTGTGTACGTTTTCTAAAGGCTAAGATTAGGGTTTAATTGTTGTACATTTATTTTCTCAAATGAGACGCATTTCTTACTTATCACTTTTCTCATACCACAAACTTTACAAATAATGTGACAGTTAACAACTCATTTCTTAATTGAAATCAGAAAGCAGTCATTGAACGTGATCTTTTTAAAATGATCATTTTTCCAATATAAGATGTACAATTTTGGACTTTTGTGGCAAATCATTTGCAGGTAGATGTGGCCTGTTATTCATCGTCGATTTTATTTACTTGATAGATGACAACAGTAAACTGGCATTTGAGAATGGATTGGTCAGCTATTTCATGATATCTTGAATGAAAAGTGTATTAAGAAATGGTACCCGAATTTGCCAATGAAAAGAATATTCAAATATTTTGTGATGAATGGAGTTTTTGTTTCTCTCAGGAATCATCACATGTTACAATAACCAAAATCACACGTTCTAGGTCGCATAGATCAATAGTTCACATAGTACAGTTCAACAAAATGGCCACATTGGGGAAAAAAACGAACAGGAACAAATGTTGAGACAATATCAGTTGATGAAACTAGTATCAAATAATTGTCAAGCTTGTTTATTGAATGGTTTTAGTAAAACCAGTGGGTAATTAATTGCATACTTTTCTTTTATTCCAATTTAACTCCAAACAGCACCATCTTTTCATAAATCATTACGGTGAAATAGCTTTCGGGGCACAGTAGAGGACACCTGTTGCTTTAGCAATGCTCAGCATGCTTGTTTTATTTCACCTCAGAAATAAGATCTAGTCATTGGATAGTTGGCATCACATGGTGACCATCAATATTTCTGTTATAAGGCAGCACAATGTTGTAGACAGCAATTTCTGTCAGCATCATTATAGTAACTTCATTCCTGTAGGAACCATGATTTGTCGCAAGCAAACCATTATTTACCCAGTTGGTATGTTTGGTTTAATAAGTTACAGTTCTACTTCCCTCTGAGATAAAGAAGGATTATAAAAGGATTTCAAAAGATCTGCTTCCCATAGAGATGAAGTTTGATTTTAAAGGGATTCCAGTTTTGCTAGTTACTGTCACCAGACCTATAGTGTGTCATCACCCAAGTTATAGATGGATTGGGGGCTAGGGTTTGGCGTTAGTCTCTCCTGCTATAGAAAGATCACACTGGCCCTCCTATATTTCTGTAAGGAACTGTAACTATATAACCTCTAGTAATTATATTACAGTGATACATTTTTATTTTGTTATTTTATGGAACTGTGAGGAATTCATTTCTTATCAACTTTTTCTAGTTTTCAGATGACAAGTCTAATATGATATCTGATGCAGAGTGTTCAATGAAAATAAATATTATTGCATTTTGATATGTATGTTTCCTTTTATCAGATTATAAAACAGTGAAAACACATTATCATTATCCTATTTCCAAGGTAACTGAATGCAGAGAATTCTTTTCCTTTTATCTTTTCCAGCCTGTATTAGTTTGCTACTTAGCTTTTGATTAGAGGTAATTCTGCTACGAGTAAAATTTAATTTAGCTTGTGTACTGAGTTGGCAGTATTTTGGTCTTCAAGTTTGAACCAGTGATGTAAGGCAGAAACCTGACAATGGCACTACCTGTAAAATTGATAGATGTTGGAGAAAAAGTTTACAATTATGATGATTAGCAAAAGCCTTTATGTTAAATGTTGATCTTAATTCTCTGATATAACACACACTCAGATATAGAAATAACAGTTTTTGTACTGAAAGATTGTTTTCCAGTGCTGTAATAGAGAGACATTTTCTTGCCATATACCATCTATTTGTTAAAGGGTGGATGGAAGGGAATTGTATTGATGATACTTGGAGGAAACATGGATGTCGCTCCTTGTTGACAGAAGTGGATGAATTATCAAAATGAACAGAGAATTATGATAGGGAAAGAGGGGTCTCATTTAAAGTTGTGGTAGAGTTGATGTAGTGGTGTTGATTATTACAAGGTTGTATAGCTCTGCTGGGATAAATACAATGTTATAGGGTTACAACAGTCTCACATGTGGCCCTAATTACTGATCTTCTTCTCACTGATCCCCTATTTTCAAAGAATCATTATTTCCGTATAATTGTATAGGCATAACATATTTCTGTCAGTCAAGGTGAACATTAACAGCATGTTTTGGAAGAATCCATATTTCAAAGATTCAAATTATTTCAAAAAAGATATCCAGAACTTTAATTTGTATGGCTGTGATTTTTTCTCATTTGTGTGCACATCAAATGATTGGCTCAAAGACAACAATGTCATTCATCTGTTGTAGTAATAGGTAAATAAATAAGATGAGGACATGCCCTTGTCAGTCAGTCATGATGATTTGTATACTTTGAGTCAGAGATTTGAAACAGGTGTAGGTTTTTTTAAGTTATTCTTTTAGAAACCATTCAGTAAATTTCTTTGTTGTTTAGTCTTTCTATAACAAAAGTCAGCATTCAACATTTACTTTTGAAGCCTTTGTACTTTCAGATTGTTAATTCCCAGGGGAAAGCCATTTTGTTCCATTTTCTTAAATCTTGAGTTTCAAGTAACTGATCTAGTGCCTGAAATAATGAAAAGATATGGCAGAAAAGCCATTAAGGTGTTGCTGGATCCTAAAACCCAGAAGGATTATTTTAAGAACGTTAACTGGTATCCGTTAATCTTTCCTCTGAAATCCTTTCATTTATTTCAAATGTCAAAAGTTTTTTTTTACTTTGTGTGCTGGTAAGAAAGGACATGGTTTTGGTTTTTACAATGCCATGCAAGTAGTATGTTGGGTGGAGTAATCTTGTGTTGATGGCTTGACATTAATAGTTCTATAAGAACAGTCATATGCTACATATACCCTCATCTCATGGCAGTGCACAGCATTAAAGCTCTCTGATGAATGTTAGTCTCGGGTATAAGGATACAAACTTGAACTCTTTGACAAGATTCTGTATTGATGAATAAGAAGGAGGGGGGAAAAACCCACAGAAATTGGTTCTTTGCATTTATGCCAGGAGAGTAAAGATTCCCAATTTGTAATGCAGCGTTTTTTATAAGAAGGATCAGTTTATATAGGGAATGTTCAGAAGTATTTGATGTTTTTGAGATATTCCAACATGTGGGATTAAACGGTTGAGGTCTGTGTAGGGTTGCATCTGATAATGAGATGTTGATTAGGTCATTTATCTGTGACCTTTCCTGGGTACAGTAGGATGTATCTTGCATCTGGTGCACCCAATGGTCCGTCTGTCTCATTATACTACAGTATTACAGAATATCAATGATATATACATACATGCAACTCTCTACTGGACCAAATCATTGACCAAGCAACTGCCTCATTTTAGACATTCCTATGCCTGGCTGTAGGATCAGGAAAAAATCTTAGCCTAAAATTGTCTTTTGATTTGACTTTGCCAACCATAGATAACATCATGAAAAGAGACGTCACATTTGATTGGTTTAGCAAAACTTAAGTTTGAGATTGTTTCAGGACCTGCAAGCTTCCTATTTATCAACACTCAAGAAGTTGTAATGCTTAGAAAGTATTACAACCATAGACATCTGTGTAATGTATAATTAGATGTGTTAAATTTGAGGTAGATTTTGGTTGTTAACTCTCCCTACATTTTAATTTTAAGATTTTTTTGCTTGATGTCTTTTTCTACTCTAATTGGCTTTGTCATGATGCATTAAAGGAAAACAGCTGGTGATTATGTAAATATGGGAATGAACACAATTTCTCAACTTACCTGCAAGATAAAATATAAAATGGAGATGTTTGCTTTCTTCATTAAACCGGAATGCTTTTTACCAAGAGTGTTTGTAATTGGCAGGAAGTAATTTTATCCCATAACTGGCCAATATTGTGTCATGTCATACAACCATGTCATAAATGTCAGACAAATGTGTTATACCAAATACTACTGTGATGTCATAATCAAGACATTTCTTGATCAAGTTTATTGTCTTGGTATTGAATTGTCCATATAGAAATTAATCAGTCTTATAGAGAAAAGAGTTTGAAAGTTTTTGCTTATTTTTTATAAAATGTTAGTTATATGATAAACAGAATGTTACACGTGTGCTGATAAACTATGGAAGTCATTAAACCAAAGTGTGTACTGTTAAAGAAGTTGGTATGGATGGATAATCCCATATTTGTGGAAATAGCTATAACACTTTGAGGATTCACAGGAAAATAGAGTTATTATAGGCACTTTCATCAAATGTTGCTTCCTACTTGCCTAACTAGGCAGATAAATTTACAATCTTATAAACATCCATTAGTGAGTGAAGTGTTTCCACGTTTTGAATCTGATATGAGGGACAATATTATATAAAACTGAGTACTATAGTCTAATCTTGGCATGGCGTTTTCAGGATTACATAACTGTTATTTGGAACTTGACCATCATGAAATTAGTATCATATGGTTCATAAAAAAGAGATACTGGTTTCTGTACAATCTAATGTTTGTTGATGAGTGGATCAAGATGAGGAGTTTACAAATATATTATATCCACTTTGACTTAATTATGTAATAGAAGCACCATGACATCTCCAAGTAATGCCATAGAAATGTGTCTGTAGCTGTGAGAATATCTAGTTAGGTATTAGCTAAGGGTTTAAGAAGCCATCTAATTTGGGAGAACCAGAGAAATGCTCAGATGGACATATATCTTGTAACTGGTACTACAATCAGAGAAGCTGCCTTCTACACTTCAGTATGTGCCTTGATTACAGGTCTTTTTCTTTGTTCACTTGATCAAATGATTAAGAAGCACAAGGAAATAAGGAATTACTTTAAGTTTTTTTAATTTATTTTTACAATTAAACAAATTTTTAAATGTTCAGGGACTGTAGAGTACACTTGTTGTAACTTTTAACTTTCTAGATTTATGTCTCAAATTCAGTAAAGTATTTATAATCTGAATGATCAACTCCTACAGATTTGTTTGATCAGAATTAAAACAAAAAATATGTGTTTTAGAGTTAGAACTTACTGAACTGCTTTCAATTGTTTCAGGATGAGCGAGCTAGCTATGATGTAAACAGTCATGATCCAGATCCACAACCTAGATATGATTACACCAATGAAAACAGGTAAGATACTAAAGCTGTTGTAGAAGTTTATCCAACAGGGTATTGTTTAATATTGTAATCATTTGAAAATTTAGAATCACAATTACAAAATTCTACTATCTTTGTTTTTGTATTTCACATCATAGATCATAATTCATTTTTTTTCTTAATTTTAGAAAAAAATCACCATAACACTGGCAAACCGTAAACTGGAAAAACTATACATAATATATAGATATGTAGAGTGTTTTCGAGGGCGAAACATCACTTATGAAGTCTCTACAGGGAGAAAGATATTAAAGTTATGATGACTGGTTTTAACACTAAAAAAATCCATGGTTTTATATAAGTTTATTAACATCTTTTTAAGACATGATAGTAATAATGTGTCATAATAGAGGGTGTGAGCAGGACCACAGAATCACAAAGTCAATGTCATTAAGGTGTTTTGTATGGTCAGATGTGGTCAGTCTTTGAATCAGTGATGACCTTAGTTGACCTTGTTCATTGTTCATATGACCTTTAGAATTTGACAATTGTGAATTGTCAGCAGGTTTTGTGTAGAAAACAAAAAACCAGACCTTGAGTCAGATGAGTCCGCAATCTTTACGGTTATTGGCTGCTGGTAAGGCATTGTTGACGAGACTAATCTATTTCCTTGTAAAGTTTAATGTTACCTTCGTATTGGAACTCGGTCAGGTTTATTTCCTAGTGGAAGTGTGTTTTATGGTAAAACCTTTCCCAGTTGCCAAATTCCTAGGAGATGACCAGGCAGCAAATCTCTGACATTTGTATCCATTTGATGAAAAGTACAATACACACATGTAGAATTATAGTATGTAGATGTAAAGAAATACCAGTATGCATCAGTTGAAATGAGGTATTTTAATACAGACACTGAAAATTTTGAGGCAGAGGTTTAACACCAACATTGTGTAAAGAAACTGTAACAAAGAAAATCTCGAGTGTGTCTGGTAGATCTACACTTGTCCTAGATAGACTTTATATAAATCAATATCTCCAGCATTGGTATTGTCTTGAGATCCTTCTACCAAGGAAATGATAAAAGTACTGGTCTACAGATCCCTTATAAGCTGCTTCTGGTCGTTTTTACCTGTCTGTTACTGATGCATACTGTCAAATCAGTTTCCCTTCCAGACACAAGATTCAGAGAAAACAAATTTATTATATTCTTGAACAGACTAGAATCATTACAGTCACAACAGGAAATTGTAAAAAAAATTCAAAACAATCTCATACTGGGTTTCTTAATATCCAAAAACGAGACATTTTTCTTCATTTAAATCAAATATATGGAATAATTTTAGAGATGAAAGGTGCTTAGTTTTCATACAAATTATGTCCCATTCCTGATATATTAAACACATATTGTTTTCCTGGTTGGGGTAAGCAAGCCTTTAGTTTGTACAGTTTTAGTTTTCCCTAGCATGTGCTCCATCATTTAAATTGACAGTGTACATCTACTTTGTTATCCATTGTGTGTCTGGTTGTCAAACTCATTAAAAAAGATCTTGTTACATTAGTTAAATTACAGCTGATGATGTCAATCTTCAAAAAAATCTTATTTGTTTTCTAATACAAAAACTCTAATAACAGTGGGAGTATACAAAGTGATGGCTGCCTTTGACAACTCTGAGCTCATTAGCGAAGGAATTCCTGTATCTGCGGATGAAAGGAATTATAGATTGCAGCACCAATTCTACCATAAATATACAGGAGTACTAGAAACATATTAGTCATTGACGGACACCTACGCCATATACTGCATGACTGGACTACACCTCATTATCAGTGTATTGACAAATCTATTTTTATCTTCTCAATCATGCATGAATAATTTTCTAAATGTTTTGAAGATGACAATTGTCATATTAGATTGTAATGGAAAAAGTGATCTGTACATAGAAGACTGGATCTCTAATGGATACAAGTTTTAGCATATCTAAAAACAAACATATAGGAATGGATTCCATTTAGAATTTTTGTAAAGATAAAGAATATCAATAAAATATACAGAAAGAACAAAAATAGAAAAGAAACGCGTACATCCAATTATCATTCTATCCATCCATTTGAGTTTAATTGACTTTGAATTTCAATTTTGGTGTAGTCATCTCTTTGACCCCAAAAAATTGTGTTAAAGGTGTTTTTGGACTGTGCAATTTTTACAAATAAAATTCATAAAAATTCTTGGTTTAATCAATAATGTAATTTTCTGCAGAATTTCATAAAATTTATTCCAAGCCAAATAAGACAACGGGAATTTTACTTCTTGTATTTAAAAAAATGATACATTAATGAAAAAAAAGAAGATTTTAAGGTGAAATGTAATGTATGTGTCAGGGTTCATAATCATTATCTTCACACCAAATTACTTTTGAGAACTCTCGTAATTTCTCATCATTTTGAACATTTGGTAAACAGGTATAATCATTGACCCAGTAACATCAAAACCAGTAAACAGAACAAGGTAGTGTAGTAAGTATAGCAACTATTGTATGTCCTTAGCCTGTCTCATTTTTGCTGATATTGGCTTCCCTTAGCCAGGGATTGCTTAGAATTATAATGTTGTAAAAGTGGCACGAGGCAGCAGGACGTTTGGCATTCCTTCTGTGACAGAATGTCAGGTGTACGCTAGATAACTGTCAAATACCACTTAATAGGGCCCGTCTTACTGGGAATTCCAGGTCTGCACAAAGCTTGTCTTAACAGCTACGAGTGCCTGCAAGTATTGTCTTTTAGAGTAAGTCTTCATTGGAAGCAAATTGTTTTTGCTATGGTGTACAGGGTGCTTTCAGAATCCTTGAAGCCTGGAAATATTCTAGCATGTTACAGCACATTATGTGATGATCTGCTGTCATTTAAGCTATTTATTGATCTCACAATGTAATACATTTTATTGATCTCATCAATATAAAATGTTCTCTGTCTTTTTTTTGTTAAAATGAAATTCGAAGTTGAAATTCATTTTCAGTTCTTTTTTTTTTATTTTACTTGAAATTTCAACACATTGACTCTATCTCATTAACTTCTTGCACAGCTTTACGGTTTAGTGCTATAAAACTTTACCACAACACAAATACCTTCATTCCAAGTGATAACAAAGTGTTGTGAAATTTCACATGGTGGTATGGTTTGGAAAGACTTGCCATGGTGACAGAGTGCAAATGAAAACTTCACTACTATTATAATAAAAGAATGGTTTATCCAAGCAGACATGTCAGCTCTGATTCCCTGTTATTGTAAAAGGAGCGGGTTGATGTTGCTTGTACATGTGTTAGATATGTAGGGTGTCAATGTACAGCCCATCCAGGAATCGAACCCGGATCTCCAGTGTGATAAATGACCTGCTCTGCCAACTGAGCCAAAGAAGTATGTTCTGTCATCTGAGTGACAGAGACTTTATTTAACATAATATAAAAGTCACACCATGGGAACTGAGAATATGAACCATTTACTAGAAATTTTATGGCCATGAGAAAAATTAGGAAAAGTACTAAATGTAGCGTAATTCATTGTAAAACTGAAAATAGAGGGGACAATTTTTTTATTGGTCAGAATGCCATGAATACGCTTCCCAAGAATAGTCCAGCTGTGAGAATTTTTCATGACTTAATTCTGCTGATTCATATTTCCTGTTTTATCATCATTTTTTTTCTGAACCTTTCCAAGCCACATTTAGGTCATCGGCCGGGGTAGCTAAGGTCAGGATAGTTCATGATAAGTAGGAAGGTTTGAGGTGCCATGTTATTATCTGCCCAATATTGTCTGTCTAACAAAGGCTCGATTTGTGAGAGTCCCTGTAGGGCGCCTGCCAGTCAGAAATTAAACAGCTACCACAAGAAGTAGGTTAGAAGTACCATCACTATATCTGTCCACTAAAACATCAGACAGTCTGCCAGGCAGACAGGCTTTGTGTTAGGTTTAGTGTGAAGCAGTTCTTGTATTATATAGGAAAAAAACCCAGTATTGATGGAAAAATAAATAACTTTCCAAATGTTGTGTTACAGCTTTTTGTCACAGTATGATGAATGAGTGAAACATAAATTGAGGATGAAAATGCTGATCTTTCAGAAAAAAATCCAGATATGGGTTAATGGCAGGAGATGTCTATTGTCTGGATCAGTCTAACTGACCATAGGCTGGCTCATTTTTGTCTACTTGTTTTGATGTATTCTGGTCAGTGTCTCAAGAACCAATGGCCAAAGTTAATGGTCTTGGCTGTGGACACCAATCTTTAGAAGTGGACACCAGTTTTCATTAGACTTAAGTGATGTTCATAGATGTATGAATGATGCTGGTTCTTATTATATCCGCCGAATGGTCTTGGCAATTTTATGAACAGTTGTGTTCAATACAATAGGCCAAGAATTTGAATGTTCTTTGTTTATTTGGGGAAAACTTTAAACCTATTTGAACAAAAAAATCCTCAGATATAATTTTTAGCCTTTATGTACCTAATCAACATAGTTGTCTCACCCAAAAAATTTCTTAAGACAGTTTAATGAAGTGACAATAATCTGAAGTTGGATTTTAACCCCTTCAGATGGTGCATTGACAATATTTGACACTGGAGAAAAATGTATAAATGTATTATCATGATAACCATTGACATTCTTGCAGATAGAGCCATAAAAGGTGCTTGAAGAAAACTAATTGAGGTCTAAGTCCTGCTTGACCTTTAAGATATTGCATTGATGGCCCCTGTCTTGTCTGCTAAGTCAACTGGAGTAGATGCTATACAACACACTCAATACTTAACATCTATCTGTGTTACCACCCTTAATTGTAAGATGTGCATACATGTTCTAAGGCTGTTTGTGAACATATTTGCTGGATTCCATAATTCTTGATTAACTTTTATACAACACACCCAGCACAAAATGAAATCATCATGCATACAATTAACAATTTGAATTTAGATCACAAGAATGTCAAACATTTACATTACATCATGGCCTAATTCATGGTTGTTATTTAGAATTCTTGGTGCCAGAGTGAATTTTGAATAATTTTCAAGTTATAATCATTATTGTAGTTCATGCTACACAGCGATGCAAGACCAGTCTTCAAATCTAATGGAATTTCAGACTAGTTTCTGCCATGTCAAGTAATTATTAGAGTTACTCACCCCAGTGTTAGCATCAAACTACTCACTTAGGGACTTCATAATGGAGATCAAATAAGAATGATTTCCAATTGTTATTCTTCTTTCCTGTGTTTCTGATTGTGATAATTATGAAATATTCTGAATGTGATCCCGTCCTGTCAGGATTGGGAAATACATCACGATTTTAACTGCTTTTTTCTTGTCAGGATCAAATTCAGTTAAAGACTTTTGTAGAAAGTTATATCTCTTCCACTGTGATATAAAATTGGTGGTAAGTTACAATGGTTGTGATCATGCAAAATTTGTGGTAAGTTACAGTGATTGTTGATCATATGAAATTGGTGGTAAGTTACAATGGTTGTGATCATATGAAATTGGTTGTAAGTTACAATGGTTGTGATCATATGAAATTGGTGGTAAGTTATATATTTGTTGATCCGATGAAATAGGTATTGTAGTGTACTATATACAGTAAGGTATTTTTGAGGTCATATTTTAATTTTCTGAAAACAAGACTAACTGTCCTACACAAGTTTGCAATTGAAGTGGAAGAACACTGAAATTTAAGAACAGATTTTGTTTGCCAGTATTTAGCAGTTATAATCCATTAGCCTGTTAAATTCTTTTCTCTGTTTTTCAGGCATGGCACTCGATGTGCTGGGGAGGTGGCCGCTCATGCCAATAATAATATCTGTAGCGTTGGAGTCGCTTATGAAGCTAGCATTGGTGGTAAGTAATGTCCTTGTAGTATTGGAACAGTTCTAATAGTTTCACTTATGTTTTCAAGCTTGTTGAGATTGGCATTCAATGACAGTGCTGCCCTTGATCAGTGGCATTAAATACCCAATGCTCCAGAAAGGCGTTAAAAATGCTGTCAATTTGTCTCCAAAAAATTTGCCCTTGATTGGCAAGTACCAGATATATCTCCCCTTAGTGGAATTCTAAACATGTTTATGTTGACTATGAGAGGCATTCTACTGCTATATTACTATGATCTGTAGTGGTTAATGCCACAAGCTTGTCTCTGAGTAGGAGGCATCTAGAACATTACCAGTCTGAGAGGAACACCTACCCTGGTATATTGTCTTGACCTTGAGTGGCATCCATGTGTTGTCATTTTTATCGGGAATCCATTGCCAGTATTAGTGCTAAAGATAAAGATTTTCCACCCTATGGAAAGCATTGACCATTTTATATTGTTGTGGCATTTACTACCAATAATAGACATTTAATGTTGAAGTGGCATTTGGTATAATTATCATGATGTATTAGTTGAAGGTTTACATTATTTATAATATTAAACATGTGTATAAACAATGAAATATGTCCGTAGCAAAATATTTAATGAAAGCTACATCAATGCCACCCAAAAGGAACTTTTGCATAAATACTTTAGGAAGCACCACTTTCAACATTTTGGGCAAAATTTTATTTCAGAATTCATTTTTCATAGGTATTCTCCAGAGAGGATGATAATTGTTGTTGATTAGATGTACATGTATACACTTTACCTTTTAGTAGAATTAATGGCCCATATAGGAGAATAACCCAATAGATCTGTAACATCCTAGTCTAAATTACTTAATGGTATATTTTTATGGAGCACATTACCTTTTCTAAGGTGTACTAATGAAAAGATTGTATTTTTACAGTACTAAAACATTTACTTGTGTTAACATTTTATGCAGTGTGTTATATTTAGAGTCAAGATAAGACTGTTATGGAACATTGGTTTATACCTTGAAGCTTGCTATAGTAGAAAGGAATTGGAGATGCGTCTGAAGATGATGTTGCATAATCGTTGATACTTTTGTATTTTGTTTACCTGACAGGAGAGATAAATTACACCAATACTCCTATTTGTGTGTAGAAGAATATTATGTTTTAAATATGCATGGAAAATATGACAGCCTATTGCCATATTAACACCAGGTGGTAATTGGCCCCAGAACGTGTGATAGTGGGTAATCCTTGGAGAAATCAGTAAACACATTGACTCCCCAACAATTTTCTCTCTCTTCCATCAGAAAAGTGGGGAGAGGAGATAAGACCTAAGACAGGCAAATATAGCCTATGTTTAGATTTGCGATACAGCCCCAACATCAAAAGCAGGAACTGAAGTTTTAACACAACACTATAGCTATGGAAGCCTTCTTTATGGCTTTACACCCAAAAAGCACCTGTCTTCGGAAAAAAGTAGAGGAGATATTTACAAGGGAAGGATTTGTGTACATTTCAGTTGTTTTGTCTCACCAACAAGGAACTTTTATACTACTACATATTTACATTGTTGCTAGTTTTTAGATAAGTATTGGTCTGATTGACATTAGAATGACTTTGACATTGAGTGTAAGGCAAGTTGATGGAAGTGTTGTGTGATTAACTCCCTGTTATATTACCAACCATATCTCTACTTCTCGACTTGTCAGTACAGCTGTAACCAGGTACAGGTTTTAGTGCTGAACATCACTGATAGATGCTGTGTATCTGCTGTATCAACCAGTGACCCAAATTATAGTTTCTAGTCCATTATAGCCCATGTGGAAAGATTAAAAATGTAAAAAAAAAAGTTTTAGATAAGATTTTCTTTAAAAAGATAAAAATTCATTTACATTTCCACAGGTTATGTGAAAAAATAAGGCATGATTCATCATTGTTCTGTAACACTATTATGATTGTGCATCATTAGTTGTTTCACTTATGGTAGTTCTAGTAGGTCGCAGTGTTATACTTTTGACCAAGTGTTTGTAGGTCACAGTGTTACACTTTTGACCAAGAGTTAGTTAATCACAGTGTTTCACCTTTGACCAAGTGTTTGTACATCACAGAGTTACATTTTGACTAAGTGTTTGTACATCACAGAGTTACATTTTGACCAAGTGTTTGTACATCACAGAGTGACACTTTTGACCAAGTGTTTGTACGTCATTTTGACAAGTGTTTCATTTTGACTGTTTGTACATCACAGTGTTTTGTGTTTGTACGTCACAGTGTTTCACTTTTGACCAAGTGTTTGTACATCACAGAGTTACATTTTGACCAAGTGTTTGTACATCACAGAGTGACACTTTTGACCAAGTGTTTGTACGTCACAGTGTTTCACTTTTGACCAAGTGTTTGTACATCACAGAGTTACATTTTGACTAAGTGTTTGTACATCACAGAGTTACATTTTGACCAAGTGTTTGTACGTCACAGTGTTTCACTTTTGACCAAGTGTTTGTACGTCACAGTGTTTCACTTTTGACCAAGTGTTTGTACATCACAGAGTTACATTTTGACCAAGTGTTTGTACATCACAGAGTTACATTTTGACTAAGTGTTTGTACATCACAGAGTTACATTTTGACTAAGTGTTTGTACATCACAGAGTTACATTTTGACCAAGTGTTTGTACATCACAGAGTTACATTTTGACTAAGTGTTTGTACATCACAGAGTTACATTATGACCCAGTGTTTGTACATCACAGAGTTATACTTTTGACCAAGAGTTTGTACGTCACAGAGTTACACTTTTGACCAAGAGTTTGTACGTCACTGAGTGACACTTTTGACCAAGTGTTTGTACGTCACAGTGTTTCACTTTTGACCAAGTGTTTGTACGTCACAGTGTTTCACTTATGACCAAGTGTTTGTACGTCACAGTGTTTCACTTTTGACCAAGTGTTTGTACGTCACAGTGTTTCACTTTTGACCAAGTGTTTGTAGGTCACTGTGTTACACTATTGACCAAGTGTTTGTACGTCACAGTGTTTCACTTTTGGGCTATAGTGAGCAGGTCATAGTATAACAATGTTGAAGAGTGTTTGTGGATACGGAAATCAAATTATTTGTAAATATATGTTCAGGATTTATGCAAGAATTCTGTTCCTGATTTCCAGGAGGAATAATAATGATTTCTAAAAAATAATTGCCAAAACGGTTTAACTGTGAGAAGATCATGTGAAATGTTGGATAAGCTACTAAGTGGGTTAACTGTTAAATGTGATTTACAGTAAAATTTCAATAAGTAAATGCTCTATTGATCATGGGTTGTGTATGGTAAATTGTGTTGTCCTAACTGTTTAGGGTTAAAGTATGGACTCATTGCTTTAAAATAAATACTTTAATGTACTTTACACTTGCTGAACAAAAACATCCCATTGATAGAGAATCTGGATGAATGGTCATCGAGACACTAACAAGTCAAGTGTCTAGTGTTGGATGAGTCCTAGGACAAGGTGAATCACCTTTATACAGTGCTACCTGTCTTAAGGTGTGTAACCCTAATAGGTACCCAGCTGGTAATTAGCTACGCCCCTACACCCTAGCCTTACAGCCAGGTGAAACGGGCCACTGGTACCTACCAAGGAGGATGTCACATGATACTTTTGAAGTAACAGTCCCCTGTCTCCTTCTAATGTTTTTTGTCACATATTAATCAGCTACCTGTCCCATTACAGTTAAGTCTTTCACTGGATATGTGTTTTATCTTCAGACACAAATGCTTTGAACCTCTGTCCTTGACAAGTCAACTATAGGGTATTAGGGAGATCAGGGTTACACAACTATTGTCCTCTGATGAGGTGGATAATGGAATCAATCGACCCTGTGTTACGGAGAGAATCCACAATCATAGGTGGTCAGACTTTTTTATGTCTAGAAGGGGACTTAAAACATCATAATTTTGATTCAGAGGATCTCATTAGTGTGGCAATGGTTACTTCATTTTTCTTTCATGCTTGAAATCTTATCCGACTGTATTTCATTTAGCAATTGGAAATTAAGAGCTATTGCCTTCATTGAAAAATGATTCTATGTATCTGTCACATTTGTAAATCAGCTTTAGATAATGAATTCATTCAGGACATTGAACAAATTATTTTCATACTTTTTATGAAATAACATTTAGAATAAAACATTAAGATTAAATGAGAAATGGTATTTTAAACATTTCTGCTTCCATTGCAGGTGTGAGGATGCTGGACGGTGATGTCACAGATTCAGTAGAAGCACAGTCTCTTAGTCTGAACCCAGAACATATCCATGTTTACAGTGCTAGTTGGGGCCCTGATGATGACGGGCGCACAGTAGATGGACCTGCTACCCTTGCTAGAAAAGCCTTCCATGATGGCATTAATTTGGTAAATTCTGTCATAGAATATTTGAACGTTTCTATATATATCAGTTCAGTGATCCACCATGACCTTCCTGAAACAAAGTTCAGTATTCTTTTTATCATCAAATGCAATTTTTAAAAATTGTGACAGCGGTGTGTTAGTTGAAACAGTATTTCAGTTCTGATTCTGCGGCAAAGCTTGACTGTATGATCATAAACACTATAGACTCGTTCCTGATCTTCATCCAATGTTTAATCTTGGCCATCTCTGTCACTGCCTTGTCACATTGACCGGCTCTTTTCATAATGTCTTCTTGTCATTCTACTTGCTGTTTGTTACACCAAGTAAACATGGAACATAAAAAAGAGACTTCATTTGAGTGTATTCTTTAAATCCTAATTTCACAAAAGTTTACCAGATTTCAGACCTGTCAATGAAGTTTTCTGCAAACACAGAACTGACACTGTTGATTCTGTAGGCACAGATCTGACACTGTTGATTCTGTAGGCACAGATCTGACATTGTTGATTCTGTAGGCACATGTCTGACACCGTTGATTCTGTAGGCACAGACCTGACACTGCTGATTCTGTTGTCACAGACATGACACTGTTGATTCTGTAGGCACAGATCTGACATTGTTGATTCTGTAGGCACATGTCTGACACTGTTGATTCTGTAGGCACAGACCTGACACTGTTGATTCTGTAGGCATAGATCTGACATTGTTGATTCTGTAGGCACAGATCTGACACTGTTGATTCTGTAGGCACAAACCTGACATTGTTGATTTTGTAGGCACAGACCTGACACTGTTGATTATGTAGGCACAGATCTGACACTGTTGATTCTGTAGGCACATATCTGACATTGTTGATTTTGTAGGCACAGATCTGACATTGTTGATTCTGTAAGCACATACCTGACACTGTTGATTCTGCTGTCACAGATCTGACACTGTTGATTCTGTTGTCACACATCAGACATTGTTGATTCTGTAGGCACAGACCTAACACTGTTGATTCTGCTGTCACAGATCTGACACTGTTGATTCTGTAGGCACAGATCTGACACTGTTGATTCTGTAGGCACAGACCTGACACTGTTGATTCTGTTGTCACAGACCTGACACTGTTGATTCTGCTGTTACAGACCTGACACTGTTGATTCTGTTGTCACAGATCTGACACTGTTGATTCTGTAGGCACAGAACTGACACTGTTGATTTTGTAGGCACAGATCTGACACTGTTGATTCTGTTGTCACAGATCTGACACTGTTGATTCTGTTGTCACAGACCAGACATTTGTTGATTCTGTTGTCACAGATCTGACACTGTTGATTCTGTTGTCACAGACCAGACATTTGTTGATTCTGTTGTCACACATCTGACACTGTTGATTCTGTTGTCACAGACCTGACATTTGTTGATTTTGTTGTCACAGATCTGACACTGTTGATTCTGTTGTCACAGATCTGACACTGTTGATTCTGTTGTCACAGATCTGACACTGTTGATTCTGTTGTCACAGATCTGACACTGTTGATTCTGTTGTCACAGACCTGACATTTGTTGATTCTGTTGTCACAGATCTGACACTGTTGATTCTTTAGGCACCGACCTGACACTGTTGATTCTGTAGGCACATGTCTGACACTGTTGATTCTGTAGGCACTGACCTGACACTGTTGATTCTGTTGTCACAGATCTGACACTGTTGATTCTGTAGGCACAGACCTGACACTGGTGATTCTGTTGTCACAGATCTGACACTGTTGATTCTGTAGGCACAGACCTGACACTGTTGATTCTGCTGTCACAGACCTGACACTGTTGATTCTGTTGTCACAGAACTGACACTGTTGATTCTGTTGGCACAGAACTGTGTAGACACAGAATTGACTCTGTTGAAGAACTGATGCTATCGATTCTCTTATGTTTGTTGACAACTTGGATCAATTGAGAGATTTTTTTTCACAATTTTAATCTCTCTGACATCTAACAATATCGTGTTGAAATAAAGAATATTCTTTCATTCATCATTTAAGCTCTGCCTTTTCAAAATGAAAATATTGCTTTTCTATCTATTTCTACATATACATGAAATCTCATTTCCTCAGTTTGTTTCGCTTGTAATGAGAGGAGTTTCCATAAGTATATATTACTATTAAAAGTCTGAAGCATCAGAATAAAATGTCATCCATCAGATGTACTTAGCATTATATAAGCCTCAGCACATCAATAACATAGCAGTAGATTGGCACCTTTGTCAGCAACTCTGTAACTTAACTTTCAATTTCCTGTTTATTTGTCCACATTGGCCAATAAAGAGAACTTGTTTTTGTCTGTCATAACCAATATGACTGGAAATTATTTCACTTTAAAGAAGATGTTGTATACTGTCCTTTTTCATAACTGGCGTGAAGAAATGTTCTTGGATATTAGTGTCCGGGATCTGTTGTGTTAATATTGATGAAGCAAGTGTAAACACAACTTCACAAAAGTACAAAAGGCTGCTGTAACTCTAACCAATACTTCTGTTGATGGGAGGGCAAGCCAGAAGCTGGAATAACGGGGAGACATTTGTGGCAGTTTAATACTGATGCTTGTGGCACACAAAGAGAGTGGATTAGGTTGTTAAAGGGAATTACAAGTGTCTTTCAGAGAGAACTGGCCATTTTTATGGTAAAAGATTTAAAACATCAGTTATATATCCCAAGGCTGCATCATGTAGGTTTATTGTCAGGGATTGAAAATATGAATTTTGTTTGTTTCTGTGGAATTTCCTGTTGTATTTTGTGGATTAGTGGTGTGAATGAAGAATAAGTGGGTTGCCGAGTAATAATCAGACTAGGAGTTACAATAAATACATTACAGATATTCAAAGATGATATTATTTGAATAGTTTTATAAATAAACACAATAATGCAAGTGTATCACAAGCCACCAAAACTTCAAAAAATACTTAACTGTACAAGAATTCTGATTAGTACTTAATGCAGTTTATACATGAACGTTGTACAATGTTATCCCCTTTCTCGTGTTTGGTTGAAATGAAGAGCGGAATTTCAGACTGCTTGCCATTATCAGTAATGATAATCGGTAGAATTGTGTACACAGCTGATTACATGGATATTAGAAAGGATCCAAAAATTGGCAAACCTTCCTCTGGGTTTGATGCTATCAGAAAACTTACAAAATTACTCACAATATTGAAGTTTTTACAATGAATAATGATTTAACTCATATTTTGGTTACAACTTCATCACAATCCTAACATGTATTCATATTTCAGTGGCAGTATGATGATTTTTTTGTGAAATTTTATGCTAGACTAGATTAGCATTTCTCATCTAATGTCTTCCTGTAAACCTCCATACTCTAAAAAACGATCATTAGGATTTGGCATAAATTAGAAAGAACTGTCAAATGAATTTTGCATTTGAAAGTTAATGTACTTTTAATTAAAAAAGATATATTTTCATTTCTGTTATGCAGCACTTTCATTTGAAGGTCCCTACTTAACTGGTTTATACTGTATGTTGTACATGTCTCCTCCTGAAATCAGATATTAACTCCTACAGTGCTATTTCAGATGATCATTATTTTTCATGTTTATTCGCAGGGTCGTGGTGGACTGGGGTCCATTTTTGTGTGGGCATCGGGCAATGGTGGTCGTGACTTTGATAGCTGTAATTGTGACGGTTACACCAACAGTATCCACACCATCTCCATCAGCAGTGCTACAGAAAACGGCAACATTCCATGGTATTCAGAGGCATGTTCTTCTACACTCGCCACAACATATAGCAGTGGTTCTGGGGGTGAAAAACAAATAGTAAGTCGTCTTGTTTTTCTCTTAATTTCGCAGATCTCTCGTAAAACAGAGTGGCATATGTGACTTGCTTATCTTAATTCTGTGATCAACAACCAATTTTTTTATTCGATCATGGTATCATAACATTTCCACAGAATGGAAAATTGTAGAACTACATTGGAGAATGGGTCCCTAACATTAGGTTTCATGTATTTCCCACACTTGACATAAACAGGTCACTTTGTCTTTTATTATCATTGTGGTTTTATACTGTTACATAAAGCTTAATGTTTGTTGCAAACCACAACTATGTCATAATACATATTTAAAGATGTTTTTAGGTATCATTATCGTTGTTGATTTTTAAATGTGTTTAATGTCCATTTACAGGTAACTACCGATTTAAGAAAGACCTGTACCGAGTCCCATACAGGCACCTCAGCTAGTGCCCCTCTAGCTGCAGGAATATGTGCCTTGGCTTTACAGGCAAAGTAAGTAGGCCAGACTCGATGTTATCAAATATTCATATTAAACTACCTTTTCTTAAACCTGTTTTTAGGTCTCACGGTTATTGTCACAGCCTTTGGACCTAGCTGTTACTACTAATCCTAGCTTTCTGATTGGTGGAAATATTCCAACAATTGGACACGCTACCTAGTGGCAGTCATATGCTATAAACAATGCTGCCATCTTTCAAAAAAGAATATTTCATGCATACTGTTACTATGAGATAATCATGTATCATACTAAATTATGTACCAAAATTAACAGACTATGTGTTAATAAAAATATTCAGATTGAGATTCGTATCATTAACCAACTGGCATTGTCCTGGTTTGCAGAGCTTAATACGATTATAATGCATCCTTGTATCAAGTTTTTTTGTTGATGTTTGTAAAATTGATTGAGTTGTTTCTGTGAATTGTACATTTTGCATAAATTTTACTGAATTTATGAGAAATGTAGTCAAAATTGAAAAATGTTGGGAAAATTTACTAATGTTTTTTAAGTAATAATGGTACAAATTGATTAAAGGGATGTAACTCTTACAAATTTTCTAATATTGTCATGTATTATTTCAGCCCTTCTTTAACATGGAGAGATTTACAGCATATTGTTGTAATGACTGCCAAAAGGGGAAATCTAAGAGCAGAGGATTGGACGTACAATGGAGTTAATAGAAGTGGTAGGTCACACACTTAGTCCTCACTAGTGGTCAAACTTATCAAGACAAATAAATGGTTGAAATCACCAATTAAGGTATTGGGGATTGATACAATTATGAATGATTGTAATAATAAATGTCTTTTTCATTCACTTAAGAATACTGTAACCTTCCATTGCTTTCCCTTTTTACAGGTTTAAGTGATGCACCCTAGTAAATTTGTGGATTCATGTCATGATTACAGAATTTTGAATTATTTTTTTTCTGTTGTTAATCTGCAATAAAACTTACTTTTGGTAACGAGAACATCCAGATGGCATTAAGAAATGAATTTGCTTCAGATGGTATCTGATATAGAATGATACTTATTTTGTATTTTCATACCGGGTGACACAAATAGGACTTTATTACAAGGAAATGCTTGCGATCCGACCATGTTATTAAAGATATTTCAAAACAGTATGTTTCATTTTCTGACACTTCTTTGTGCACATTAAAAAATGAACAACTTTAACTTTTCTTTGATAATGTAATAATGACACCATGTCTTTCTTACTTTAGTGAGTCATTCCTTTGGTTTTGGTTTGATGGATGCTGGAGCCATGGTGAGATTGGCCAAAAACTGGACCACAGTGCCCCAGCAAAATATATGTGAAATCCGATTACAGGAACGAAAGTATGTAATAGAGACTGCTTTAAGGGGAGATAACTTCATAATAAAAAATTCTTTCTGCAACTTGATTTTTTTATGTGGTGTTATCTTCACTAAATATTGATAACTTCATGATATTACAAAACATCTACTGATGCACAATACTCTCTAAAATCAATGTCGACTACAGTTATTTATCATTATCACTGAATTGTACTATAAAAAATTTAATATACCAAAGATAGCTGTGATATTAGAGACCTCAATGAAGCTATAATAATCATAATTTTATTGTCATAGTACTGGACAGAGGACAGTTGTTGAGGTTTGCTGTTTTGTTTATAGAAAATCTGCCTATCAATTCATCATTAGAATAACTGTGAAATATGATTAAACCAGAAGTCATTTTGAGTTCTACACACTTACCTGCGGTTGTGAAGTACAAAAATTCAGTTAAAAACAGAAAAGAAATATCATAATAACAGAGATTTATTGTTTGTCCATGTCTTGATTTGTTATATCTTGTCCATGTCTTGATTTGTTATATCTTGTCCATGTCTTGATTTGTTATATCTTGTCCATGTCTTGATTTGTTATATCTTGTCCATGTCTTGATTTGTTATATCTTGTCCATGTCTTGATTTGTTATATCTTGTCCATGTCTTGATTTGTTATATCTTGTCCATGTCTTGATTTGTTATATCTTGTCCATGTCTTGATTTGTTATATCTTGTCTATGTCTTGATTTGTTATATCTTTTCTGGTATCCATGTAGAGAAGATTTCATATATGGCAAAAAATACAAATGGGATATTGTGATATCTGATATTTTATAAATGAGAACAGTGTAATGTTCAACAATGTTCAGAATATTAGTTATAATATTAGGCCACCTCGTTTAAGAAATAATAGCGTGGAGAAGAGATTGCAGTGTATGTTAATTCATATCGTATAATCTAACTATGATTTTTGCTAAAGGTTAAATTCTGATGATTATGATTCTGTGATAAAAGATAATATATATCATTTCAAACTTCAATTTCAGTCGTCAGGTTCCAGCAAATACTAAAATAAGCGTTCCCCTGCACACAGATGGGTGTATTCGTACTGTAAATCAAGTGAAATACGTAGAGCATGTGCAAGCTAGGATAACCCTTTGTGCAATCAGGAGAGGTGAGATCTCAATATACCTAGTGTCTCCAATGGGTACACGCTCAACCCTGTTAGCACGTCGACAGAGGGATGTCTCACGAGATGGATTTAACAACTGGGCGTTCATGACGACTCACAACTGGGGCGAGTACGCCAAAGGCACCTGGACTTTGGAGATTGAAAATGGTGGCAGTGCCAGTAAGTCATAATATGTGTAAAGTCTATTATTTCTGTTCTATGTTGGTTTTTGCTTTCTCTAAGTTTTCAGTGGCTTGCCTTTTATACATTGCAATTTAACTACAGTATATATATATCAGAGCTTCACAGTCTGCTATACTGGCCTTATTTTTAGATTTACTGTTTATTTTTTCTGTTCAGATTTATAAGTTTACTTCACTGTTTTTCTGCTGTTATTGTGCAACGCAAGCTTTTTCTTTGGAACTGCAGTTATTGTTTTAACATTTGAAATGACCATGGTAAATAAAATTGTCTTTAATTGAATTTAAAAAAGAAAAGAAAACTAACAAAGTTGACAATTCTCTCTTTCTTGATGAGAATAATGAACTATTTTACTGGTGTGAATTGAAAACTGAGGTTGGTCATGTGAAAGGTTAAGTGAGTCAACTGCTGTATTGAACAGATTCATATTTGCAAATTTAAAAGAGCATTGAATTTTCTTATAAAACAAATTACAAACAGTTTATGAATCCCAATTCATGATCTGACAATATCAAAGGTTTCGTTTGGTTGTTTAAATCTAAACCCTTGCTCATCCTTTATAGTACTATCACAACTTAGCATAGGTCCATAATCTTACTTGAGGCAACATGCAAGCCAGCGTGTTATATTAAAAACAAAAATATACTTTCAAAGTCTGTTGTTATGAAGTCTTCATCCATTTCTACATACCTTATATATGTATTCATACTTGCCCCATACTTGTAGTAGTCAGAATAACATATCTCAGTGATTGATGTCCCCTGATGTTGTTGGTAGTAAAAGGTATCCCTGTCAAAATTCATCTGTTTTACAATTAAATAATTTACAATATTTGATAATCTGCTTTTGCTTGGATGCTTTTGTGGGATCTTTGTTACAAGAATGACATGTAAATGCATATTCCTTTTCTAACTAGTTGTACACTAAATCCTATATACCTTGTTAGCATATCTAAAAAACCAAAGTTACTTCTTGCAAAAAAAAAAGGGAAAAGAAAAAAAAAGATTAATAAATGAAATATGGGAGAAATGCTTGCTTCTTTTTACTCTTGTACAATTTTTGTTTCTTATTTTTGGTTATTGTATAGTTTTGTTCTGCAGATTTTTCATTTTTAAATTTGAGCGCTCTAAATACATTTATAAGAGTAGCATGCTCACATATGTGTATAAGATAATTATTGCTTGATATAACACAAATTTCAAATGGATGATTTCATTGTTTTATTGTGCTGTGATCTGGTGAATTTGAAGCATGTGTATGTGTTGAGCATGCTTGACCTTGGTTGACCTTGCTTTCTATGGACAGCTTTCGGTGACTTCTTTTATAAGAGTGTCTATTTATCTTGGTTTATTAATTCTTTTCCTATAAAATATATTTTATTTTAATTTCTCTGAAAGTTTACTCAATTCTAATGGTAAAAAAAAAATCAGTGAAGTTTTCCAACCTGTTTTATCAAAAGAGTCTTCCTTATGTCAGTACTCACTCATTCATTATATGTAAATCTCATTTACTCATATGTGTCACATATATATTCTGTAAGCATTATATCAAAATCATAAATTCAGTATCACACAGATGCTTTATTGTTTGATCCAAACATCACATGATACATGTGCTTCATAAAAAGCAGTTTGACCTAGAAATGAGATTGTTTAGTCAGTGCATTTCTCTGAGGACCCATAAGTCATTTTGAACAATGACTGTTGTGATTTGGCAGTTGTAGAAGGTAAGGTTTTCACATTTCCATACTTCATAACCTCCCTCATATCATTTGTTTGCATGCTTATCAGGGGCTTCATACCATAAACTAGTACATAAAATGATTCACCAATACAAATTTCTGTCATGGTTACCTTGTTGTTCAGTACATACATTTATGTTATTTGCATATTAACTTCAGGAATTTGGCTTCAGTGTTACATCCTCAGATCATCACATGACATCACAGAATTCCTGATTGTATCATGACTTAACAATGTAAACAATGAATACAGGATCTATACTGCAGGAATAACTTAGAAAAATTGTGTTGGTTTTAGTTTTCAAAATTCACAAAAAAACATCTTGATCATGTGATAAAGTAATAAGAGACGGTTGATATTCATTTCTGTGGAGGTTATGGTAACATTAGTAATTCATTTTACATTATAGTGCACTGAAGACTGACAAAACTTTTTTTTTTGCTTAGAATGTATAAATGTTTCAGGAATCCATATCTATAAAATTAATTTTTTTCATGGGGAAAATTTTACAATGTTTTGTTTCAGTAGATGTTTGTAAAACAATTAGGTAAATTTACAATAAATTTAAAGTTTTATTAGTAATTTTTCATCCATTATCCTGTGCCATACACTTTTCACATATTAAACAATTCAGTCAAAACTTGCCAGGAATGACTATGAGATGGTCCTGACCAACTGTTGGTCTGAAATCCAAGATGGCTGCCATGGTTGCCATTTTGAAAGCTCTATTTCAAATTTTTTTTCAAGTTCAACTATTGCTTTTGAGCAAAAAATTGTTGGGAATGATAAGGAAAGGATGTTAACATGAAAAAGACCAACATAGCAGCCATGGTGGCTATTTGTAACCTGACAGTACAATCATGGTTTTCTTGAACAACACTTATTATATATTTCTTCCTCAGGACCACAAATAGGATTGATCTGAAACGTGCAGTGAGTTATCCTGATTTGAAATCCATGATGGATGACATCTCCAAAAAATCATTTTAAACTTCTTAGATCCATTGATGCCATTGGACTGAAAATTTCTCGGGATGTTTCGGAATTGAAGCTGACAAAATATTTTTAATTTCCTTGAAACTTCATTATGGAAGTAATAAAAGCCAATTTGTAATCTGATGGTGAAATTGTGCATTTCTGGAATATCTATCTTAAACATCTTTCTAACTTGCTCAAAATGAACCTGAGTGGTTCTGACCAAGTGTTCTTAATTAAGGGGAAATTTGGGCTGAAATCTAATAAGGCCAACATAGCTGTCATCTCAAAAAACACATCTTAGACTCCAGTTCTGCTGGTGCCAGTTAGATCAAAATTTTAAGGATGTGGATAAACTTAATTCAACAGTGTTGCAAATTGTTTTTTCCATAACTGCCAAAACAGCATAATTGTTTTAAACATTCTATAATTATTGAAGCTACCATTACTGTTGTTGTATCATTTATAGGTCTTCATAATCACTTAAAAGATACCTGTTATTTTAAATCTTAAATAAGTGTAGACCTCCTGATAGAGATTCATTCAAACTGACAGGAGAGAGGTCATTGTATTATTCCACTTGTAGACTTGTACCTATCGAATGGATATGTTTCAAAGATATTTTTAAAAAGTTGGAATGAAAGAACAGTGGTAGGAAAGAGCCAAATGGTTGAAAAAAAATGTCTTGGGGCTGATAGTTAAAGTTAATATGAGAGTTCAGTTATAAAGTATCCTTTTGATGTAAGAATATGATTGTAGAAATGATGATAAGAGGCAGATAGTAGAGAATATTACATGTAAAAAAGTTCAGGTGTGTCTAGTGATAGAACATTTTGAATGGGAGTTCCATTTCAGTGCCATTTGAGTGATATCTTAAAAGTGTGGATGTAGCAATATATTGGTTTACGGGTAACCATAGATTGGTATAGATTGGTTTACGGGTAACCATAGATTGGTATAGATTGGTTTACGGGTAACCATAGATTGGTATAGATTGGTTTACGGGTAACCATAGATTGGTATAGATTGGTTTACAAGTAACCATAGATTGGTATAGATTGGTTTACGGGTAACCATAGATTGGTATAGATTGGTTTACGGGTAACCATAGATTGGTATAGATTGGTTTACGGGTAACCATAGATTGGTATAGATTGGTTTACGGGTAACCATAGATTGGTATAGATTGGTTTACAAGTAACCATAGATTGGTATAGATTGGTTTACGGGTAACCATAGATTGGTATAGATTGGTTTACGGGTAACCATAGATTGGTATAGATTGGTTTACAAGTAACCATAGATTGGTATAGATTGGTTTACAAGTAACCATAGATTGGTATAGATTGGTTTACGGGTAACCATAGATTGGTATAGATTGGTTTACAAGTAACCATAGATTGGTATAGATTGGTTTACAAGTAACCATAGATTGGTATAGATTGGTTTACAAGTAACCATAGATTGGTATAGATTGGTTTACGGGTAACCATAGATTGGTATAGATTGGTTTACGGGTAACCATAGATTGGTATAGATTGGTTTACAAGTAACCATAGATTGGTATAGATTGGTTTACGGGTAACCATAGATTGGTATAGATTGGTTTACGGGTAACCATAGATTGGTATAGATTGGTTTACAAGTAACCATAGATTGGTATAGATTGGTTTACAAGTAACCATAGATTGGTATAGATTTGTTTACGGGTAACCATAGATTGGTATAGATTGGTTTACAAGTAACCATAGATTGGTATAGATTGGTTTACAAGTAACCATAGATTGGTATAGATTTGTTTACGGGTAACCATAGATTGGTATAGATTGGTTTACAAGTAACCATAGATTGGTATAGATTGGTTTACAAGTAACCATAGATTGGTATAGATTTGTCTACGGGTAACCATAGATTGGTATAGATTGGTTTACAAGTAACCATAGATTGGTATAGATTGGTTTACAAGTAACCATAGATTGGTATAGATTTGTTTACGGGTAACCATAGATTGGTATAGATTGGTTTACAAGTAACCATAGATTGGTATAGATTGGTTTACAAGTAACCATAGATTGGTATAGATTTGTTTACGGGTAACCATAGATTGGTATAGATTGGTTTACAAGTAACCATAGATTGGTATAGGTTGGTTTACAAGTAACCATAGATTGGTATAGATTGGTTTACAAGTAACCATAGATTGGTATAGATTGGTTTACAAGTAACCATAGATTGGTATAGATTGGTTTACGGGTAACCATAGATTGGTATAGATTGGTTTACAAGTAACCATAGATTGGTATAGATTGGTTTACAAGTAACCATAGATTGGTATAGATTTGTTTACGGGTAACCATAGATTGGTATAGATTGGTTTACAAGTAACCATAGATTGGTATAGATTGGTTTACAAGTAACCATAGATTGGTATAGATTTGTTTACAAGTAACCATAGATTGGTATAGATTTGTTTACGGGTAACCATAGATTGGTATAGATTTGTTTACAAGTAACCATAGATTGGTATAGATTGGTTTACAAGTAACCATAGATTGGTATAGATTGGTTTACAAGTAACCATAGATTGGTATAGATTTGTTTACGGGTAACCATAGATTTGTTTACGGGTAACCATAGATTGGTTTATGGGTAACTATAGATTGGTTTACAAGTAACTCTAGACTTGTGTAGGGGTAATTACAGATTGGTTGAAGGATAACCATAAATTGGTTTATAGGTAACTATAGATTGGTTTACAGGTAACTATAGATTGGTTTACAGGTAACTGTAGATTGGTTTACGGGTAACTATAGATTGGTGTACGGGTAACTATAGATTGGTTTACAGGTTTATGGGTAACTATAGATTGGTTTACAGGTTACTATAGATTGGTTTACGGGTAACTATAGATTGGTTTACGGGTAACTATAGATTGGTTTATTTGTAATCATGGGTAACTATAGATTGGTTTATTTGTAACTTTATATAGGATTATGGGTAACTATATATTGGTTTACAGGTAACTATAGATTGGTTTACGGGTAACTATAGATTGGTTTATTTGTAATCATGGGTAACTATAGATTGGTTTATTTGTAACTTTAGATTGGATTATGGGTAACTATAGATTGGTTTATGGGTAACTATAGATTGGTTTACAGGTAACTATAGATTGGTTTACAGGTAACTATAGATCGGTTTATTTGTAACTATAGATTGGATTATGGGTAACTATAGATTGGTTTACAGGTAGATTGGTTTACAGGTAACTATAGATTGGTTTATTTGTAACTATAGATTGAATTATAGGTAACTATTGATTGGTTTACAGGTAACTATAAATTGGTTTACAGGTAACTTTAGATTGGATTATGGGTAACTATAGATTGGATTATGGGTAACTATAGATTGAATTATAGGTAACTATTGATTGGTTTACAGGTAACTATAGATTTGTTTACAGGTAACTATAGATTGGATTATGGGTAACTATAGATTGGTTTTCAGGTAACTATAGATTGGTTTACAGGTAACTTTAGATTGGATTATGGGTAACTATAGATTGGATTATGGGTAACTATAGATTTGTTTACAGGTAACTATAGATTGGTTTACAGGTTACTATAGATTGATTTATTTGTAACTATAGATTGGATTATGGGTAACTATAGATTGGTTTACTTTGTCTTACTTATTTATAACATCATCTTCCATTATCATGCACTTGACTCATTTGAATAACGATTGAAATTTCCAGTGGGTTACTTTTTTAAAGGAAGAATCTTTTATGATAAGGCTTGGTTGGAAAAAAATTGACTTGATTTGATTTTGTTCTTACGTTAATATTGATACCTAGTCAGGAAGAAAATATTCAATTGAACTTTTTGAGTTTTGATACAAATACTGTTTTATTTTATTTGCCTTCAAATGTCTCCTGCCTACCTTCCTTCCTTGCTGTCCTTGCATGCTATGCACATGGCTTCTGCACCAGAACAAACAAGTTATATTACCAACTAACACTAATTAACCCTAGTATAATGTTGTCTTTCATAATAGAAGTGCAAACTGATATTTGCATATTGAATTAATACATTTACTTTAGGAAAAGTATCGTTTTACAGTTTTTGACTAAATGATATTGTGATTGAAAGAAATGCCTAATAATGCATCTTAAATTGCTATCTTTACTTGGTATTTTAGTGCAGAACTATTTTCATAATGAATTGATGTTGCAACTTATGATTCTGTTTTAGAATTTTCTACTGTTTCAAAAGTGAATATGAATTTTGAAGGAGAAAAAAAAGAAGATACAAAGCAGATAAAAACTTTTCTATTGTAAATTCCTTCATTCATTATTTGTGTTGTACAAATTAAGAACCAAAGTATGGATGTGAAAAGATTTCTGATTTGACACTACCACATCTGTTGATCTTGGATTGGTTCAAAATGATTAACCAATCAAAAGAGTCTGAAGCATTGGTAGGGTCAAAGGTTATCAAGTTATATATGAATAACATCGTCAGTATATAAATACTACATTATAATAATTATAGCTCGTTATCACCAACATGTCAAATAGAATCTTTTAATATAGTTCAGCCTTTTATATTTACGAGTACTGTATTTTCAGCACTGCGAGAAAATTACTACTGTCCAGTCAAAATTTGTGATTTTACTTTCAACAAAGATGTGTATAAGTAATTAGAATTGGTGACATAGGATCCTCCTTTTGAGAGTACACATGCATTGTCCAGTTTAGCTCTCCTATATGCCTCATAAATACCTCCCATTTGGAATTTTTTGAATTTTTTAGCTTTAAATATTTTTGCTTAGTAATTGATGAATGTTTACCCGATGTGATTTCCAAGTGATACTGTAGGGGCGTGCAGAAGATACGGTACAGTAGGATTTGTATGTAGTGGTGCTGTGGGCTACCTGTTGGTGACTTGACTACTAATACCTTGTGTTTTTGTCCATGTGTTTTGTTTGCAGTGAGGGCGGCTAAGTTAGATGATTGGGTCCTGGTATTGTATGGCACAGAAACGGATCCACTGCGCACAACCACCACCACCTCAACTACCACAAAGATTACTCCCTTGAGAAATAATTCCCGATCCCGTAAAAGTAAAGCCCTTAGCCCTTCCATCACTACTACCACCGAATCCACCTTCACACCCTATGTGTATTGGTCATCAAAGAAGCGCCCATTCCAAAAACACAAAGACAGAGACCCTTATCGTTATCCTTATAGAAAGGACCCTTGGCGTCCCCCTACAATTTATCGCAAAAACGATAATTTGAAGCCTCCTCACATGTGCATTTTTGAAACTTTGGCCAAACGGAACAACATGTCTGCTTTACAATATATGAGGATGGTCCGAGGCAACCTAACGGCAGGCAAGGAAACCTCTCCTAGGCATGTCTGTCTGTCTGTCCATCTTGGGCATGTCTGTCTCTTTGTTCAGGCATGCCAATTTTCTGTCCATAGTCTGTAACCCAGGCATGCCCTCTAGCCTCTCTCTGAGTGTTGGAAGCACTCCGGCATGATCTAGTTTGTGACTGGTCCGAATTGTCTGGCTTTGTCCTGGAAGGCATGTGCCATCTCTTCTGTAATTGGTAGTGATCTCTGTGATCATCTTCTTTCTGCTATGTTGAGTTCTTCTTTGTCATCTGAGTTTTAGGTTTGTTTTGCCTGGCACTTGTAGATTGTTCATTTCTTGGGGTCATCTCAAACACTTGTTTATAAAGCGCACCTGATGTTTTGTCAATGTGAGAATGCACATGTTTGGACCATACCTGCCGAAGGTGTCTGTTGACCATGTTATCCTATACAAATTGCACAAGTTTACAATTATGATCACTAGGATTCACATTTTTATTGAAAAAAGTCCTTGCATTTTTCCCTAAATGTAGTTGTGAGATGATCCCTGTGTTTCTACTGCATGGCTTCCATCAGTGTTGCACATTGATATGTTGTATTCTTTTCCCTCAATTTATTTTCTGCATGTTTTGTTTGCCTCATTTTCATGTAACTTTAGAAGTTAACCTTTACTACAAGTCATCAGGCACACAAAGTTGGTGTTGAGGTCATTTTGTTCCTTAACTGGTCATCAAATTTAGTCAAAACTAGCTGGTTCAGCTGGTGGTTTAGTATATCATAAGATGGAAAGTCATTCCTCATACACTATAAAGTTTCCGTCCATATTGACAAGTTGCACATAGCATCATGGATCTTTATTCCTTAAACCGGCCTTGACCTCTGACCCTTTGCCATATACCACCATGATCTTTCTAGCTTAATATTTTCATTTTCACAAACTTTTTTTGTTGTTGTTGTAGGTTTTTTAAATCATTTTCATTATTATTATTTAAGTATTGTGGGTCATGATTTGGAATGAACTTTATTTGTGTTACAGTGACCTATTTTTTTGTGTATATATTTATTGGTACTATAATAGAATGGCTTAGATTCTATGTATTAAAATGAAAAAGAAAAGAAAAAATGTATATCTTCCGGTGTGTATGATGCTTCTAATAAACAATTGCTTGAGTTAAGAATATTTATTGGTTTGAATATAACCACTTACAGCCTGAAACTATATTCTCTGTCTCTAGCCATGTGCATAATCCTAGATGAATGTAAACATTCCAGACTACCGTCATATACTTTCGTTCTTGATTGTTATAGTTTTGCGATAATGAACTGGTCCAGCCATGATTTAACTAAGGAAACAACATAGGGGAGATCTATTTCTTAGTATGTTTAGATTATAATCATTAAAATTTAATTGCAATCATAAAGTATACTTTAATTAAAAGATGGTTATTCAAGATGTAAGCTTTATTCAAATATTCATTTCTCTTATTTTGAAAGTTAACTTCTTTCAAAAACACTTACATTTGATTGTAGCCTTGAACTTGATTGTTGTTTTCTTTTAGTATCAAGAAATGTTACATGAAACTGTTTTAAGGGTTTCTTTATTTTAATGATGTTTTTGACTATAACAATTCAGTCCATGATTTTTGTAAATTATCACGGAACAATACAAACAAGAACGCATATGTCTGTAGGATTATCCATCATAGCATGTACCACTTCTTAACATTGATCTTGTAGAGCAATCAGGCCTACACATATACTCCTCATCAAGTTGGAAAAAACTCATTGAAATGCTGGTTTTTGGAAAGGTGAAAATGTCTGCTAAATAGTTAACCCCAGGACCAGCCATAAGTGTATCTATTTTTATTTCTTAAAGAAAATATGAAATGATATTTTTTATTGTCTGCCTTCTATAAGTAAATGATTTTGTTTTAGCCCTGGTTTATTATAGGATAAATACAGTGTGGAAACTGTTAAGATATTCAAGATAACATATTTTACTAGTATTAAAGGAGAATTTAAAACATACAAACATCAGCATAAATATTAGCACAAACAAATGAATATAACAGTACAAAAAGATACAAAATTTAACAAGAAAGTGCAAATATTGGCTCCATATCCGATGAAAAATTCATTCAAATACCGTCACATTATGTGTACAAGTATTATATATTGTTAACCAGTAGAATTTTTCCAGCTCATATTGATGGAAATTTGGATACAACACTTAACCATATAGATCAGTGCAAGCCTTAATATAGATTAGTATTAGTATCGATTTTTTATTATCCAGAATAAATGTATTGTTTATCAGCCAGTATAAGTGCAAGCAGAGTACACTGAACACTGGATGTCTTAAAGAGCACATTGATACTCAGACAAATTAACTGGACATCAAGAATTTCTTGTAAATGCGTTCGACATGAAATGGAGACATTTTGGTGGGAGCTGGACCTGTAATTGTAGACAAATGTTGGTCACAAGACCATGCTTTACACTACAAACCACTAACACATTATGTCCTTCATTACTTCTGGCTGAGATTCTGATGCTAGGTTAGGGTAATATAATGGGCAAAGTGACCAGCCTTTGTTAGGTCTGTCAGTCTACTTTATCAACCTATAGGTTCTCGGGACATGTCTGTAATGTGGTGTTAGATTTGTGGAGCCAGTCATCTAGAATTATAGGGCAACTTATTGAGATTTATGAGGCAAGTCATTAGATTTGTGGGTCCAGTTGTACAATATATGGTAGTAGAATGTTAAGCCAGCCATATGATTTTCTGAAGACTTGTCTTGTAGGATCTTGAGGGTGATGGGAGGAGGCAGTTTTTTTGAGGGGGTAGGCAGTCATGCAATATGGTGTTATTATGGGACCAGATTTGAGGGGCTAGTCATGTGATATAAGGAGGTCGATTTGTGGGGCCATTCATGTGATATATGCTGTTAGATTTGTTAGGCCAGTCATGTGATATATGGGGTTAGATTTGTTAGGCCAGTCATGTGATATATGGGGTTAGATTTGTGGGGCCAGTCATGTGTTATATAGGGTTAGATTTGTGGGGCCAATCATGTGTTATATAGGGTTAGATTTGTGGGGCCAATCATGTGTTATATAGGGTTAGACTTGTAGGGTCAGTCATGTGATATATGGGGTTAGATTTGTTGGGGCCAGTCATGTGATATATAGTGTAAGATTTGTGGGGCCAGTCATGTGATATATAGGGTTAAATTTGTGGGGCTAATCATGTGTTATATGGGGTTAGCTTTGTGGCGCCAGTCATGTGATATATGTTGTTGGATTTGTGGGGCCAGTCATGTGATACATAGTGTTAGATTTGTTGGACCTGTCATGTGATCCACATTTTTTGGTATTTTTGGATATTTTGAGACAAGTTATATGACAGCTGAAAAATTATCACAGCACAAATAATGTTATTGTCTTATGTATTTCAAGGATATCTGTAAAATATTTGTTTTGAATCAAAAGAAATAATGTCAGTATCATTTTCAACAGAAGTGATCAACTCACAAATATAAAACTAATGATCTTTTTGGTACAGTGGATGCTTTTATTGAGGCATTATTGCAACAAAAGCATTGCACTAGACCGACACTAGACAGACACTAGACAGACTAGATAGACACTAGATTGACACTAGACAGACACTAGACAGACTAGATAGACACTAGATTGACACTAGACAGACACTAGATAGACACTAGATTGACACTAGACAGACACTAGACAGTCTAGATAGACACTAGATTGACACTAGACAGACACTAGATAGACACTAGATTGACACTAGACAGACTAGATAGACACTAGATAGACACTAGACAGACACTAGACAGACTAGATTGACACTAGATAGACACTAGACAGACACTAGACAGACACTAGACAGACTAGATAGACACTAGATTGACACTAGACAGACGCTAGATAGACAGACTAGATAGACACTAGATAGACACTAGACAGACACTAGACAGACTAGATAGACACTAGATTGACACTAGACAGACACTAGATAGACACTAGACAGACACTAGACAGACTAGATAGACACTAGATTGACACTAGACAGACACTAGATTGACACTAGACAGACTAGATAGACACTAGATTGACACTAGATTGACACTAGACAGACACTAGACAGGCTAGATTGACACTAGACAGACACTAGATAGACACTAGATTGACACTAGAAAGACACTAGACAGACTAGATAGACACTAGATAGACACTAGACAGACACTAGACAGACACTAGACAGACTAGATAGACACTAGATTGACACTAGACAGACGCTAGAGAGACAGACTAGATAGACACTAGATAGACACTAGACAGACACTAGACAGACTAGATAGACACTAGATTGACACTAGACAGACACTAGATAGACACTAGACAGACACTAGACAGACTAGATAGACACTAGATTGACACTAGACAGACACTAGATTGACACTAGACAGACTAGATAGACACTAGATTGACACTAGATTGACACTAGACAGACACTAGACAGACTAGATAGACACTAGATTGACACTAGACAGACACTAGATAGACACTAGATTGACACTAGACAGACACTAGATAGACACTAGATTGACACTAGACAGACTAGATAGACACTAGATTGACACTAGACAGACTAGATAGACACTAGATTGACACTAGACAGACACTAGGTAGACACTAGATTGACACTAGTCAGACACTAGACAGACTAGACAGACACTAGACAGACTAGATAGACACTAGACAGACACTAGATAGACACTAGATTGACACTAGATTGACACTAGACAGACACTAGACAGACTAGATAGACACTAGATAGACACTAGACAGACACTAGATTGACACTAGACAGACTAGATAGACATTAGATTGACACTAGACAGACACTAGACAGACACTCCAATCCATCAAATGTTATTGTGATGTGGAGTTGCATACCTACTTAACAGTTTCCACATCAGGTCATTGTCATTAAGAATTCCATAGTTAGGTACAGTTTGGCCTTGTGTTCAATTTTCCTTTATTTTACTTCATCTTTTATCTTCCAGCCGAATTAAAACAATGGACACTGGTTGTTATGGGGACTCCTACCCATCCTCAAAGCCGTAATATCACCTCACAGCCAGTGAAGAAAAAGCAACCGATCAAGTGTGCTGGTATCACTTCTCACGGCATATGCATAGGTATGTGTCCAGGTAGACGTACAACAGGTCAGAAGTGTTGGTTAGAGGCTTTTTTACCTGTCTATAAAGACCTTTTTTATATGATAAATACCTGTAAATAAAGGCCACTGGTATGTAACAAATTGTCTATGGTAAATATACAGGTGATTATTATATAACAAATACCTCTCTATAAAGGTCATTATTATATGATAAATCTTTCTGGATAAAGGTCTAGTATATAGCAAATACCTCTCAATAAAGGTCTAGTATATAACAAATACCTCTCTATAAAGGTCACTAGTATATAACAAATACCTCTCTATAAAGGTCACTAGTATATAACAGATACCTCTCTATAAAGGTTACTAGTATATAACAGATACCTCTCTATAAAGGTCACTAGTATATAACAGATATCTCTCTATAAAGGTCACTAGTATATAACAAATACCTCTCTATAAAGGTCACTAGTATATAACAGATACCTCGCTATAAAGGTCACTAGTATATAACAAATACCTCTCTATAAAGGTCACTAGTATATAACAAATCCCTCTCTATAAAGGTCACTAGTATATGACAAATACCTCTCTATAAAGGTTACTAGTATATAACAAATACCTCTCTGAAAAGGTCATTATTATATAATAAATACCTCTCTATAAAGGTCACTAGTATATAACAAATACCTCTCTGAAAAGGTCATTATTATATAATGAATACCTCTCTATAAAGGTCACTAGTATACAACAGATACCTCTCTGAAAAGGTCATTATTATATAATAAATACCTCTCTATAAAGATTAATAGTATATAATGAATACCTCTCTATATAGGTATAGTATATAACAGATACCTCTCTATAAAGGTCTAGTATATAATAAATACCTCTCTATAAAGGTCACTAGTATATAACAAATACCTCTCTGAAAAGGTCATTATTATATAATGAATACCTCTCTATAAAGGTCACTAGTATACAAAGATACCTCTCTGAAAAGGTCATTATTATATGATAAATACCTCTCTATAAAGATTAATAGTATATAATGAATACCTCTCTATATAGGTATAGTATATAACAGATACCTCTCTATAAAGGTCTAGTATATAACAAATACCTCTCTATAAAGGTCACTAGTATATAACAAATACCTCTCTATAAAGGTCACTAGTATATAACAAATACCTCTCTATAAAGGTCACTAGTATATAACAAATACCTCTCTATAAAGGTTACTAGTATATAACAAATACCTCTCTGAAAAGGTCATTATTATATAATAAATACCTCTCTATAAAGGTCTAGTATATCACAAATACCTCTCTGAAAAGGTCATTATTATATAATTAATACCTCTCTATAAAGGTCTAGTATATAACAAATCCCTCTCTATAAAGGTCTAGTATATAACAAATCCCTCTCTATAAAGGTCACTAGTATATAACAAATACCTCTCTGAAAAGGTCATTATTATATAATAAATACCTCTCTATAAAGGTCACTAGTATATAACAAATACCTCTCTGAAAAGGTCATTATTATATAATGAATACCTCTCTATAAAGGTCACTAGTATACAACAGATACCTCTCTGAAAAGGTCATTATTATATAATAAATACCTCTCTATAAAGATTAATAGTATATAATGAATACCTCTCTATATAGGTATAGTATATAACAGATACCTCTCTATAAAGGTCTAGTATATAACAAATACCTCTCTATAAAGGTCACTAGTATATAACAAATACCTCTCTATAAAGGTCACTAGTATATAACAAATACCTCTCTATAAAGGTCACTAGTATATAACAAATACCTCTCTATAAAGGTTACTAGTATATAACAAATACCTCTCTGAAAAGGTCATTATTATATAATAAATACCTCTCTATAAAGGTCTAGTATATCACAAATACCTCTCTGAAAAGGTCATTATTATATAATAAATACCTCTCTATAAAGGTCTAGTATATAACAAATCCCTCTCTATAAAGGTCTAGTATATAACAAATCCCTCTCTATAAAGGTCACTAGTATATAACAAATCCCTCTCAATAAAGGTCTAGTATATAACAAATCCCTCTCTATAAAGGTCACTAGTATATAACAAATCCCTCTCTATAAAGGTCACTAGTATATAACAAATACCTCTCTATAAAGATCACTTGTTTATAACAAGTGTTTGTGTATAAGGGCCTCTGGTTTCTTGTTTCACCTAACAATTCATGGTAATTGATCCTCCAGGGCATCAGTCTGCCAAAGCAAGGTGCAGTGTACTAAAGTCAGGGCCAATGACACCTCAGTGCAGAGTTATTCACCTTTCCTGAGATTTTGTGTCCTGAGCATAGCTTTGCTTACAGTAAACCTAGGATCATGAAACTTGATGAATATATTGATCATACTAAGAGAATGTGCAGTGAACCATTGTCAGGGCCTATAACCCCTTAATTATAATATCATTGCCCTTTGTTAGAACTTTGTGTCCTATCAGGAGGGTTTTGGGGAGCATTCATCAGTTTCATTGCTGCTCTTGTTTTTTTTTTATTCCCTTGAGTAGCCTTTAGGTTTGAATATGTCTTTGTAATCTGTATCAATGAGTGGAATGCTTTATTTCGTCATGATCTTACTTTAAAGTATGACAGTACATTCTCACATACAGTCCTCAAAAAAAACATTTTGTCTTATGTAGCTTCTTTAGTGATACAAAAATTGCTTGTTTCAGAATGCCGTCCAGGATTTTACAAGTTTGACGATGGCTGTGTGGCCACTTGTCCAGAGTTTTACTATGGTACCATGGAGACAGTGCTGATGGATGGTAGTCATAATTCTTCTGGCTGGGCACCTCAATACCAGAGGCATGGCATCTGTCATTCTTGCCATGAAGCATGTCGGACTTGTAAAGGACCGTATGTTGAGGACTGTTTTCAGTGTAGTGAGAGATATGAGATCAAAGATGGGTACTGCCACAAAAAACTGATCATGAATTTCTTAGATCCAGATATGCTAAGTTTCTTTGTCTGGGTGATAATTCTATGCACGTCTGCCATCTTGCTGTTTGGTGTGGTCTTTATAGTTTTACAAGCCAGGGACCACAACATCCTCTGCTGGCGTGGGGAAAAGGAAAGACAATCGGAGGGGTCAAAAGGCAAATACCGTGACGTGCCAACTCGTCCTGCGGAGGACCGAGAAAGTGACATAGATCATTACCACACTGTGTTACAAAACATTCACACACTTAACTCGTACAATAACTCCAAGTATAGCTTAAACCACAGTTACCCACCTTCGAGACATTGACAACAACTCCAGCCCCTGCCTACAGTTATCTGCCCTTGGCAGTGACAAGGAAAGCCTGGCCACAAGAGTTGGCCTTGCAGGACTGAGACACTGGAGATACAGGTCAAGGGTGGAATCTGTAGCTCAAAGGGTGCATCATTCATAACACAATTATGAGAGTTGTTTTGTGATGGATGTTATATACTTATTATATATATATATATATGATTTGTTGATGGGTTTCCTACATAACCTACGAGTGTCTGTCCGAGCATGTCTGTCCATCGGTAGAGAGCCTGCTGCGTGTCTGGGTTGTACACCAGATAGATTTGATGTTTTGTTTATAAATACTCTGTTTATATAGAATCTAAGTAGTGTGTATAGCTAAGCTGTAATCTTACTGATGACTAATGGCTGAGTTGTTATGTACATTATATGTATGGATGGGCTATGATGTGAGTGAGCTACAATCTAATCAGTTTGTGTGATTGAGAACTTTTTTTTAGGTTACATATTATATGATTAAAATGTTTATGAACTATCTTTAAGGTCAAATGTGTGGCTTAGCTAAATTGAAAGTCTATTGTATTGAAGGACTGCGATCTAGGTCGGATGTATGACTTAGCTATGATCTAGGTCAGGTGTATGGCTGGGCTATAATCTAGATTAGGTACACAGTTGGGCTGTGACCTAGATCAGATGTATGGCTAGACTATGATGTAGGTCAGTTGTATGACTGGGCTATGATCAAGAGCTATGCTTTAGTGAAGGTGTATGGTTTGGCTATGTTTTAGGGTTATGTTCTAGGTCAGGTGTATGCCTGGGCTATAATCTAGATCACATCTATGACTGGGCTATTACCTAGATCAAGTGTAGGATTGGGCTAGGATCTAGGGCAAACGTTCTTGCTCAGCTGTGTGGCTTGGCTATGACCTAGATCAGCTGTATGGGTTGGCCTTGATCAAGGGCTTTGGTCTAAGTTAGCTGTGCTATGATCTTGGCCAGCTATGTGGCAGGGATTTGGTCTGGAAGAGCTCTTTGACTGAGCTATGGTCTAGGGTTATGGTCATGGTCAGGTGTTTGGCTGGGCTACAATCTAGGGTTATGGTCATGGTCAGGTGTTTGGCTGGGCTACAATCTAGGGTTATGGTCATGGTCAGGTGTTTGGCAGGGCTACAATCTAGGGTTATGGTCATGGTCGGATGTTTGGCTGGGCTACAATCTAGGGTTATGGTCATGGTCGGATGTTTGGCAGGGCTACAATCTAGGGTTATGGTCATGGTCAGGTGTTTGGCAGGGCTACAATCTAGGGTTATGGTCATGGTCGGATGTTTGGCTGGGCTACAATCTAGGGTTATGGTCATGGTCAGGTGTTTGGCTGGGCTACAATCTAGGGTTATGGTCATGATCAGGTGTTTGGCTGAGCTATGCTATCTCAACTCTATTGCGGGATGATCAATACGGTGGATAATTTTTTATAGATACACTTTAAAATGAAATTTATCATCCAAGTATTGCCTAAGCATACTTTGTTTTATTAGTTGAGAATCTAAAATTAAAAACAAAACCAATATTCATTCTGAAGTTTTGTGACTAATCCTTTACATTGTGTTCATTAAAGAATCTATTGGTTTCATAATTTCAAAAAAGGTGGAAAATAACAAATTGTTGGGACCAAATATTAAACCTCTTGTGACAAGTATTTAGTGAATTGATGAATTTTACGGTATTATATTCTTGATCATGTAGATTGTGTCAGTTTGCTGTCTGTGTATATGACTGAGTGAGATCGAATGTGAGAAACATCATTGTGTATTTTAGGAAACAAAAACAGTGGCTTGAAAGACATTACAAAATTCCATGAATTAATCAGTTGTTCAGTTAATCTGGTACTATTTGTTTGCTATTTGTCTTCACAAGTCGATCTTAGATAAGGAGCTGTTTTAGTTTAAAATCAAATGTACTGAACATTTGCTTGTAACTCAATTAATTTGTCTCATTCATAGTGTGATTATTACATTTGTCATATAATATAATTCTACGAGCTTAATTACAATGTTCAACAAATCAAAAAGCATATTGAAATTAGAATTCTTACATTCATATGGCTTGTTTAGAAAAAAGATAATTTAGCAATAACTTAATTATTTCAGGGATTTGCTCATCAACAACAACAATAACAAAGTTGAAAATTCCATACTGATGTCATAATTTTGTTGCAAGGAGCATAACCGTGGTTTGTAATGGTTTTGCACTACTGCTTTTAGCTGATAAAATAGATTGTAGATAAAGCCATTTGGATTAGATATATCAGTCATTGAACACACCTTTAAGAGATGCATCTTCTTATTTATGTTTTACATGTAGCTGTTATCATATTTAATGACCAAAATTATTGAGTCCCAAACACTTTTTGTTATCATTTCTACAGATTTCAAAACTATTTATTTACTGAATGTTTTTTTTCTTTTTTTTTCATTTTTTTTTTCAAATGAGGACTAATTTGAGTAGTGTTTTGATGATATATGACTATATTTTGTATATGTTATGCAGATGTATATATAGTTATTGACAATGACTTATGTAAATTAAATTGTTTTTCTCTTTCAACATATATTCAGACTGAGGCAGTCCGGTTTTCAAATCTCTTTCCCCCCCCCCCAAAAAAAAAAAAAAATACATGAGGATTGTCTTTAGAACAGTTGTCAAGATTTGTCCTTTACATGTTCATTAATTTCTTCACTATCATGTATGTAGTACAGATTTTGTTAAAGAAAATAAAAATCATTAAATAGCCAAACTATTTATATGGTTTCAGATACTTAACAGTTGTTGAAAGGAACTGTCCTCCAGTCTAGCCAGTATATTGTTTTTCCTATGACAAATTAAAATTTAAAATCTGATAAGATTAAATGAACATTCTTTGTTTTGTCAATACTAAAATAACCTAGATATCTCAACAGAATTTTGTTTCATGGGAGTATGTGGATAAGTGTCAGATGTTTCATGTTGTAAAAGTAGTAGATTGAGACTTTTGACTGGTCAGTTATGTACTGTAATGTTTGCTGGTCAGTATGCATGAGTGACCAGCTTTGTCAGACAGTTCTCTCATCTCATTGAGACTGCTCAAACATCACATCGTATATAAACTTCACGGGAACAATTTGTGAAATATTGGCAGTGTGCATTGTATGGTACGATTGTTGAGGGAAAAAAATAGCATTTTATATGGGATAATCGTTGGGGACCTTAAAATCCAAGGTCTGTTCCATAGATATATAGTTCTGTGACGTCCATTTATACTGCAGTGTTATTGTTTTGGATTGAGTGATCCATCGTCGGTGCTCTTGACTCTCCATCAACAAGTATAACTGATTCTTCCATTAGTCGCGTGAGCTGCCAACATGTTTGTGTAGTTGTGTACATAACTGTGTAGATTTGATCACAAGACTTAATATTCCCACACTAGTTTCGACAGACCACAATTGTTAATGTTCTTAATGAATTCAGCTTGATAGCAGTGGGACCAGGCATCACAACTCAGTCTTTTTGTTTTGGCATTTTATACATATGTTCAAATCAAACGGTGTAATGGAAAATTTGTTTACAGACAAGAAAACCAGTCTAATTGATAAGTCTTTTCAAACTTTGTTTTTTTCACAGATATTTTTTTAATCAGTTTATTGATTTTTTCTTTTTTTTTTCAATATTTTAAGTCCGATATCATTTCTACTTCTGGGAATGAGAGGTTAGCATTCTGTCTCAACTTATCTGGCATTTTAATTGGATCATAAACAGTGACAAGATCTTCGTTCGAGTACATTTTATATTTCTTTGGATGGATGGATATACGCAATACAATTATATATATTTTTTACACCACTAAGAGATTTATATACAGAATTTTCCCCTTTATTCACCATTTGGTTCTTAGTTCATTAAGTATCTAATGGATACATTTTAAAAAAATTGTATGCAAGTGTATTTTCAAATTTCAGTGTCACATGCACAATTAAGGATGCGCAGCTAAACATATACAAAATTTCAGCCTTTGTTAATTTCTCAAGTATGGATTACTTACAATACTTTACATGGTTATTTGAAGAGCTCAATACCATGGACCAATGACAAGTATTGAAATACTTTTTCAATCCATGAAAATTTTAAAGAAAGTATTTAAAACAACATCTAAAAATTTTTGATTAATATAATTTCCGTCTGTCCATCCTAATAGTCTGTAAACTGGCTGTACTATCTACAGTTCCCATGTAAACTTATTAATTACTAATGAAATAGCAAGACAGGAATTTTGTTCTTGTGCAAGTTTAACACACACACACCCTCCCCTTTCTTTTTTTTTCTTTTTTTTTTCCTCCTCCATTTCTCCAAAAAAAAATTTCTTTTTTTGTTTATATTTCTTTAAGAAGTGTGACTGGATACTTTGTATTATGGATGTTGAGTTGTTTATTGTCTTACCATTGCTCTGGCATGGCGATATAGTTTGTGTCGATATCTAATGTATAAGCCCTATGCCAGCCCCTGTCCTGAGTAGTTCCAGTGGTCACCCTCCAAACTTGTGTACATATATTGTAGTAGAACTGTAAATTATTCTGTTGTTACTTTTTGTGGTTAGTTGTTGTAGAAGATAATAAGATGGACATCAAGATGACTTAAATTATTGTGTATGATGTCAAAATAATCTGTTGCCTTTAAAAAGTCATTAAGACGATCATGAGCATGTGAAAACAAATGATCATTCATCTATTAACAACTTGCCCATATATGGTCATGATCAGAGAAAGCTGTTCTCATCTGCATATTCCACCAAATTATATTTGGACATTGTATTGTCACATATTTGATATATATATATTGACATCCCATCAAAACATAAGCTTTAAGGTTTTACATGATGTATATTTCCTTTATAATTTATTTGCCTTTTGTTTATCAGAGATGCATAAACATGTCTGAATCATATTATGTAGAAAAAGCTTGTGCGAATGTTCATCAGCTACAGGTATATTTCTGTATAGATAATGTTGTCAGATAACTTTGCCCTCTGGTACTAATCACGTCTGTGAAATCCCTAATACAAATTGATCACCAGTCTCGTTCATTATTAGGTCTGGTCCAGCAATCATAATTTGTGTACTTTTCAGAGGAAATTTCATGCTGTTTAGTATAGATCTGAAGTAGGAAATTTTCATCATTCAGATTTTGTACTATTCAAAAAACTTTTTATCTGGTAACAAACGTGGAATTTTCAATGACAACAACTAAATCGTACATTCAGCATTATATAGTTTATCGGCAAATGTCAACTTAAGTTAATACAAATAGTTCAAGACATAGCCGATTTAATATTTTGTAACAAGCAGTTGATATGAAATGAAAACAAACAGAAAAATGTATGTAATTCTTACAGAATTCTGTATCATAACATGAAGTTGTATTTCTTTTGCATTTTTACTTTGAAATGTGTAGATATCTTGTGTTTAACTCAGGGTTACTCTGTATTACAGATGTATGTAGGAAACATATGTCGGTGTTCTTTCTCTAAATGCCACATCCTTGTAGAATATTGTAGCTGTTTTAACTCTCTATTATAGCCAGACTAACAGTTTTTAAACACCTGCTGATTTTATTTTATTTTTCCGTACATTTCTGATGAGATTATTTTAAAGATCACAACATTGTCAGTTTTGTAATATTTTGTGGTTCTAAATTTTACTGGAATTTCAGTATGTAAAACATAAAACTTGAAGATTTTTGTTGATAATGCTTTTAGATTATGTATTTAAATATCTTAAACAGAACTAGATATCTTGTTTCTATATGAAACATACTTTGCTCTATTGTTATTCATATAAAGATGTGTTATTTAAAACACAAGGATTAGAAATTCTTAGGGCCAAATCCTCTAGTCATTCAGCAATATTAAGTAAAGCATTGGCCTCTGACAATCAACCTCTGCGACCTTTATGTACAGATGTAGATGTGGGGTTGTAAGCCCTCCGATTCCATGTTTACATCAGGTTACCTCTATAATATCACAGCGTGGAGTATTATATACTTGTATTAAAATTACTTCAGACTTTTTCGTTTAATCATTGGCTATTTACAAGGTAACATATACCAACAGGAGTGCTGGTCATTTGTTTTTTTAGATAATCTTGGAAATTTCTGAAGTGAAAAGATAAACCTGAAATAATGACTACAGATTTAAGATCTGTTTTTCAATAATTTTCAATTGATTTCAACTAATTTAAACTGATATTTCATCAACTTAATTTAAAAGTTGTATAACTTGGTAGACTCCTGAAAAATTCCTCTTGTGTTGCTTTTTTCTATGAACTCCTTTTCACCTTCCGTTATTTTTGTAGATCCCATTAGCAGTTGTCCAGTGAGCTATGCGCCTTGTGATTTTTGTATGTACAAGTTTTGGATTTTGCAGACTATAATTGAAGATGTTATATAATAGTTCTATGATGAGAATTTATGTTGTGAGAATTTGTAATATTTAAGTTGTATATATATTATGCAATATTCACATCTTTGAGCATATAACATTACCAATGATACTGAATCTATCTATAAATCCAAGTAAAAAAAAATCTTTTAAATTATCAAAAACAATATATGAATATTTATGATAATTTTATAAGGGAAATGTTTGAATTTTCAAATTTTGTCTTGATAATTCATTAAATTTGATTTTAGTTTTTTGAGATGTATTTATATGGTGTTATATGATCTTAAAAACACAAATTGTAAAAGGGAAATGTTTTGGTGGTGCATTTTCTAAACTGATTCATTTGAAAAAATATTGAGATTTGAATTCTTTGACAAGATGGTCTGTGCCTGTTTTCTCCCTGCTGTGCACACGACTTAGTCAATTTTATTTCTCCAGCTGTATCCACACCCACCATTATGCTTGCAGTATCAAGTACAACCCTGTAGGATAGCTTCCTAGCAGCCTACAGTAACCATTGTATGTTTCTAGTGGCAAAGTTTTACAGAGACATTTGGAAAGGTAGGTTGACCAAAACCTATTATACACCAGCTTACCACTGACCACAATGATCAAAGGGTATTGGTTTGGTGGTAGGTCAACAGTTCAGTGAACACCACTGGATGGTCAGCAGCTCTCCCAGCCTTCTTGTCTAAAGGTTACTGGCCAGTTATTTCTGTATTCCTGACTCAGATAAGGGGCTAGGCTTTTTACAGGAGATAACCAAAAATTTGTTTGTAATAATACTGAAGAGTAATAGACATAGGCTGGTTTATTACATGACATGGGCTCATTGCAGGACAGACACCTCTAGTACAACAACTTCCATTACAATTATTACTGCAGATGGGAGTTTCAAGTGTGTGAAGATCTGAATTTGTAAACCATACAGGTAACTTCTACAAAGTGAGTAGAAAAGCTGCTGATAATCCACCATGTTTTTATTTTGGTGTGGTCATTGTGCTACCAGCTGACAAGGTAGCTAATTAGCTTACCAAGTGATTCAGTTGTCTATACTGGGAAGGCAATCTACAGGAAGTGTCTTACTGTTTTCTGAAGCAAGATTTTACTGATGGCTGTTCAATTAATATACATGTAGGCAAGATCACTGACTATATGAAAGCTATCTGACCAAAAGAAAGTGTCTTGATCTTCTGTGTCTGTTTGTAGTCTGCTGACTATTAATAAGACAGGTTTAATGCCTGGTAGGGAATAAGCTGAGTCTGTTGACCTGACTGGTGTATAGCCTGACCAATAACAGGTAGAGAAGCAGCAGTATCTGTCACCAGTGGTACTACACGGTAAATTGACTGCTGAATTAACTACTTTGTCCTCATTTACATGTAAATGATTTGTAAATTATTCTTCCTTGTGTAGCACTAAGAAATCATGATGTATACAAATAAATTCTTACAATGATATTGAGCTGTTGTGTTTTATTTTACTTTAACCAGTTAAAATCAGGCCGAACTTTTATATCCTCAATTAATTGTTTTACCCAAGGACACAGCCATGTCAGCACAGAGCAATCCATTTCTCAACTTCCTGAGAAAAACAAACTACAATGGGTAGGGAATGTCAAGCCAGGTACCTCAGATCTTATCCATTAGAGGGTATGTAGGCCAACAATCGAAGCAAAATATATGTGTGCCCACACCAAAGAAATACTCCAGACTTTTGGTTGACCAGTAAACATGAATTTTCTCAAGCTCCGGCAAATTTCCAGGTGAAAAGGGCTAGAACAAGTATAAAAGCTTATTTATTGTACCTAACTAGTAACAAATACTAAGAGTAGGTAGAGCTCTATTCTTTTATTAAGTTTACATTGATTTTATTGGATATTCTTGAAGAAACAACTTCGAAATGGCTGGAACCAACGCCAGCAACAGGCGGAAACAGGACAGAGGGTCGCAGAATGTTAAAAAAAAATCAGGACGTTCCCAGAGCTCAAAACAACGGTCTAGAAGGAGTTCCAGGACTCCGTCTCCTTCTGATCCCAACAGAGTAAGAGGGCCAAGTAAGGGAGTTGATAAAAACAAAAACAATGTAAATAGTTTAAATAGTGTTTTCAAGTTTGTTGAAAAACTTAAATGTTGCTATGCTAATGCAAACCAGTTGAAAAATAAAATGGAAGAGTTTGAAACCAGGATTAGAGATGCAGAACCCCACATCATAAGAATAACAGAAGAACTAACCTACAGGCACTTTCCACGTGATATGATAGAGATGTACAAGGCAGTTAGAGGAAAATATGATGAGGGGGCAACACAGTTTTTAAGGATGTGGTCCGATACTTCCGGGAGATCCAGCACAAAAACTAACTCACTGAAAATATACCCAAAACATGCCAGAACATCATTACGGAAAAACCCCTTCTCCATTAGAGCAACAGCTGTATGGAACAGTTTGCCTGACCACATTGTAACTTCCAATACACTAAACAGCTTCAAAAACAAACTGGATGACTGCTGGAATGGGCAGGAAATAAAGTGTGACTATAAGGGGGCAATACGTATAACTACCGGACAAGACATTTATAATTACAATAACAATTCTTATGAGTCCAACAAAGAGGATCCTTAACAAACCTGTGCTGGAAAATATCATTAAGAAGTTTCATTAAGTAAGATTTATTGTATCAAAATGAATACAAATATGAAAAAGGTAATAATGAGTCAAAATATCTAGAGAGAAAACACTTCTATTTGTTTTAATGATAAATTGGATAAAAATGTTTGTAAAAAAGAAACAGCAAAGGGCTGTAGCTCTTCCCAAAATTGTAAAATTGCATTACCATAAAGGACAACACAGTTTCATGTAATGATAAAGTCTACCAAGTTTCAAAGAAATTGGTAAAAACTGCAGGCTGTCAACAGATTCCTATATTCCTATATTTTTATAAACCTGTTTTGAAAGACCTATATTTCCTATATTTTCCTATCTTTTTTTTTCAAATATTCCTATATTTTTCAGGAAATTTGTCGCCGATAAATGTAGAGAGTGTAAATATTTCTTTGATACTGCTTTTGGCTACTTTATTTCACAAGTTACAGAATTCTTAAGTCTTTAACAGCGTCACCAGCCACCAGAAATGATTCAGTGCATCTCTTTATCACCTGTATGGACACCTTACAAGGCAGTACAACAGAATATTGGCCTTTTAGGTGCCCATTCAGATGATGACGAGCTATGCAACAGCTCTCTGCCTGGATTGTGATTCTGTTGAAGTGAATGGTTACTTTAACCTGGTTTTTAATCATTGATTAATATAGAAATAGTAAGTGAAGGTAGGAATTGTTAGTATAAATGTCTTTGAATGAAACAATTTTTGTTTGGAAAACTCCTATATTTTGCCACAAAACTAGCAAAAAACTCATATATTTTGCCTCAAAACTAGCAAAAAACCCCTTTATTTGTTGAAAAAAACATTCTTATATTCCTCCTATATTTTGAAATAAAGAAATTAGTTGTAAACGAAGATTGATGTTTTGAGAAACAACAAGGGGCAATAATAGTGATTAAGCCTGCTTAATTTTAAAAAGATAAGTAGAAAACTGGGAGATCTCGGAACAAATAAATGTTATGATGCATGGACAATGCCATATGTTATGTCAAAATTTTAGATAGGTGTATAAAAAGTGAAAACTTATCGGTGGTTTGTCATGTGGTAAGTTTTATATATTTAGTAGATATCAAAAAGCGTCAATTTTTATTGGTGGTTGATCATAGTTATATCTCATACAATGTATATTTTCTAGACATCGATATGTAAAATTTTATTCATGGTTTTGGTGGTTTATCAGGAAGTGACTTCTAGTTACTATATTTTCTAGATATCAAAAAGTAACAATTTTATCAGTGATTGATCCCAAAATAATGGTTTTTCGTTACTTCCTAAAGACCAGAGGTCCACAGCCTCTTGGTTAAGACACATAAAATTGGTAAGAAAGCATTGATGTCGGAGAGACTTTCCATCAAAGCCAATGGCAGAAAGTTTTGATGAAGAACACATCAGAACAGTTATGAGTTGTTGATGCCTGTAGAAATATTCCTCAAAGCCAGCAGCACAAAGTTCCTTGGTGAGAGGGCTGGGTCAAATATAGGTAACAGGACACTTGGTATACCTAGAAAACACAGATTCAAATGGTCATATACGATTAAATAACGAAGTCTTTAAAATCATAAATCATTATACTACATGTATTATTCAATATGATGAAAATCTTTCAATGGGGATGTTACACTTAACTGTTGTTTCAAAGTATGAGCTCAGTTTAAACAAGTCGTCAATGACAACATAAAAATGACATCACAAGAAATACAATCCTCTCACAATTCAATAAGTACTATGCAATAAAGATGGAAGAAAATGGGAAGTATGCCAAATTTGTTCCAAACTCCTCAAGGAAATATTCTGCTAAGATGCTGAAAAAGAATTTCTAGAAATAGTAACAATGACCTTAACCTTAACTTTGAATAAAATCTTACATTTGCAATTTATGAAAAGTAATGTATATCTGTTTATGATAAACAAGTCTCACCTTGTTCATACAAGAACAGCATCCTGTCTAGAAGGATGAGACTCTCCACTACCGGGCCAAGCGACAACCGTAGGGTGTAGAAGGCCACCACGTTTTGCCAGTAAGGGAGATAACTCTCTGCCTGCTGCATAACCTGGACTGGAACACTAGTGTAATCCAAACCTAATCTCTGCAGTCCATTTTTAACGTAGCTGTAACATTACATGTAATGATAAAGACAGTGTTTCCAAAATTTTCCACAACTGTAACTCACAAAGTCTCACCGTATCCTTGTGAAATTCAGATATAATCAATATCATTCCTTTTGAACCATCAATAATTTCTCAAATGTAGTTAAATATCATGACAAAGAACTTGGAAATATATAGTAATTCTAAATGGCTATAATTTGAAGTGTTTGACCAATCTATTTTTCTCTGATTTGTTGTAATAGCTTACCTTTCAAATGACAGATTCTCTGTGTATTTGGTTGTGAGTCGTACACTGCCCTGAATGAAGTCTGGCTGTATCTGTCTAATGATGTACTGTAATGCTGCTCTGTAGCAGTGCATCTTCAGGTTCGGTGGGTTAGCTGATAATAGTAAACATTGACTAATAGAATCTTTAACCTCTTTTGTAGTGAGATAGGAGGCAAACTTGACAAACAGAATGCTTACCAAGTCTTCCCCCTTTGGTTGAGATCCCTCTACCTTACCTACATTAGGGAAATAATTTCTGCTGTTGACCTTAGATATGTTGTTATTATACCAATTGGTAAGAGAAACATTCATCTTAATAAATATGTTAATATTGATTCAGGCAATTTCTTCAATGAAATTCATGTTTTATACAGTTTGTGATAGAGAATAGGTAGTAAGCAGACATCTGTTCTCCTGAAGTTGAAGGAAAAGAATCTTCCTTCACAACAAATTAATATCTTTTACATGAACTTAACCACTGAAATCACATTATTTTTCTTGACTTTTGTGGACACTAAAGAGAGGCTAAATTACAATAAACAAGATTATCAGTGAAACTGATGAATACTCTCCGAAAACCATTTGCTTTACACAAAGTTTCATGATCCTAGTTTTAATGCAGGCAAATCTATGCTCATGACACAAAAGTTTAACAAAGGCCAATAACCCTGTACTGAGTGGTCATGGGCTTTTACAACTTTGATACAAATGTAAGATTTTGTTTATCACATAACTAGGAAATTCATAAAAAAAAAATCTATAAAAATTTAATTTATTCATTCTACAACAGTTGCAAAACAAGTTATTAAAACTTCTATCAATAATTTTTATGGCCTGGATGGAAGTACATCTGGGATCTAACTGTGGAAGGAGGCTGGATAACCCGTGGAAACCCACATGGTCAAGCAGGTGACCCTGTAACACCGAAATCACACACTAGATGCCTAGATGAAAGGCGGGTTTGTTACAAAATTGTCACCTGTCCATCCGAAAGAAAGCATTTATCACCTAGATAAATTCTTTTATAATAATTCTGTCTCTGGTGACATCATAACTGAGAGAATTAAAGTCTATAGCCAACCACACAGGACAGGCAAAGTGTTGAATATGTTTTCCTAAAGCATTAACACAATGGGTATACTAACGTTGATTACAGAGATATCTGACAATACATACTTAGTCCTTAGTCCGGTATACTACAGATGCAAAGGCAGTTCAAACATGATTAAAAGAATTCTCAGAAAAAATTTGCAACAAATTCACTAAATATACATATATAGGTATAGTTAGATATATCACCAATGAGTCTTTCTTTGTAGGAATCTGCAAAGTGACAAGCCATTTCTCTGGCCTCAAAACTCAGGTAACTGTCGCTGAGATTTCTAGTGAACTGGCTCATGGGATACCCCACATCACTACTGCTGTCCTCCATTCCTCTGAAACACACATGCTAGGAATTTATAACAGATACCATTGATTGTGCACAAGTTTATGCCCATGTGTGTCAAAATACAAAATGGAAGACAGTAGTCATCTGCTATCTCTGATAATGCTAAATAAGTGACATGAAAAAACAAAGAGTACTGCAGGCCAAGAATTATTCAGGATCTGATGTATCAAAAATAATACAAATATTGAAATGAGGACAATAAGTCAAATTGTCAAGAGAACTGGTTTTCTTTCATAATAAATTAAAGCATACACTGTGCAAAGTTTTATAGAGCTGTATTAGAAACTTGAAAGAAATCTGGATAAGATCAAAATCCTTAAAAGAACAAAGGACAATAACCTTTTGAAATATGTTTGAATCAAAATGCGGCGCATGAGAACACAATTTCATGTAGAGATTTTCAAGTCTACCTAGTTTCAAAGAAATGGGTTGAAAACTGAGGGGGAGGTATCGGGACAAGATCAATATGATGAAAAAACAAACAATAGTGGATAACTTTTCCTAAAATTGTAAAATCACAATCAACTGAGGAATACAAAGTTTTATGTAATGCTTATAAATCCTACCAAGTTTCAGAGATATTGGTAAAAACCTAAGGCAGGAGATCTCCGAACAAAATTAACATGTTAAAAACACAAAGGGCAATAACTCCTTAAAAGAATCCTGGAATCAAAGGGATATGTTACGAAAACACAACTTCATGTCATGTGGATTGCTCCAACTAAGTTTGAGAAAGGAGATCTTCAGACAAGATACTACATGACAGAAAGTACTAAAATAAAATATCTTCTTCATGATGTTGCACAGGCAAAGTAAGATATAATGTAATTATAGAGTGAATCAATATGATGACCTTTGACAATGACCTTAGCCTTGGTAAAAAAATCTGACACGTATAAGGATCTACAGTGTACCTTTTACTTAATATCAAATTCAGTTTACTGAAAATGTGGATAGGAATATGGAAAAGTTACTCACAGAAGAAATCTGATTGTTAATGGATGGACATAGGGCAGAGAAAATGCTCCTTTAACATTGAGTAAATTTTAACAAATACAAACCCCTCTCTAGTGCAGGATAACTTCATATAGCAGCACGCCACTGAGGCCACACCAACAACGTCTTGACACTGGGCAAAAATTCTCAGCATGGTGGGGGTTAGATCACCGCAGGCATGGAGACCAGTCAAGAGAAAATGAGATAGATCATCAGGAAGTCTAGAGTTTAGCTCTAATTCATCGCTAGGTACAGGTGACCTTGATTCAGAAAGGTCATCAGGAGGTAACCTCAACTGGGACAGGTCAACATCAGCAGTTGTATACTTTGGACTTGGATTTGACTTGCCACCAATTAATTTGTCATCTGATTCTTCTTGGTGTCTTGTCCTAGCGTCTTCTTCCACTCCGTCTCTAAAAGAGTTCTTTTTTGAGACACAATGATTTGAACAGTGTTCTGAATCTTCTAATTCTGATTCTATATACAGATTGGAAGGATTTTCATTTGGCAATTTTCCTACCCCATCATAATTTAAACAATTAGACTGCTTTTTGTAAGAGTCTTTGACTATTTCCAAAAACTGATCAGCACTTGTTCCTGGTTGGATGACACAGGTCACATGATCAGGTAGAGAAGTTTTATTGATGGCTGATAAGTCCTCTTTGATACTGTCTTTTGAGTCAGTTCCTTGGTCCTGATCTGTTAAAAGTTTTCTCTGTTGAAACATAAAATAGAGTTGAAAACTACTGCATCCATGGAATAGAAGATTTCATCTTCCTTTGTTTGGAAATTTATAGCAATAAAATGACATTACATGTACATACTTCCATATAAATCTCTTATACCTGTTTCCTGTTCTAATTCATTAAAGTTACAACAACTAGATGGAATTTGGAGCCCAGAAATCTGGATCTATCTTCCATGGATTATTAACACCAGTTCAAAGCAAGGCAAAGTCAAACTGCCATTTTAGGGTCATACTGCTGTTCCTGACATATGCATGGGGAAAATGTCAAGGTCAGCTGAGGTCCATGCAGATTTCATTGGACAAATGGTCTTTGTATGGTCATGAATTATATCAAATGACCTGCACATCTCAAACTTGAATATAATTCAATAAAAGAAAATAACTTAATGTTTTAGCCTGACTACATTTTTCTTACCTTTAACTTTCTATGTATTTTCTTTTGAATGGCCCTGAAAAATAAGTGTTCAAATAAAAGAAATAATTTAAGATCAAATTGTTTATCAAATATCAAATCCTTCATTGATTCAGGTTGGAGCAATCTTTTCAAAAAAGGCACTAAACATAATAAGCCTATAAATGACATAATGATGAAGATTTTAAATAGCGAGTGTGTCCTTACTTGTCTATTTTCTTTGCTTTTGGTGCATGGCTGTCTGCAGCTTCTACAGTGGTGACTTTGAACCCATAACCGAATGCAAGAAGTCTGGACAGGTGACCTTTACCTGCCCCAACATCTACCACATGCTCACAGTGACAGTGACCTCCCAAGAGCTGTATTGCCTGTAGCGTGTAAAACATGAGGAGCTGATAAATATATGATTGAATTGTGGACATTCTGTGTATCTTCATTAATAACAGTTACACATAAAATTCTTTGAGAATTTATTTATTATATATCATTACATGAATGAATGTTTTATCTTGTGAAATGACAGAGATACACCACATGTATAATGCAATATATTACATCTATTATATCTTCAAAGGTTTTTCCTTCCTGCATTCAATGTTAATGACCATTGACACATTTCTGTAAACCTCCTGAATTTTTACAAATGATGCTGAAGATTTTAATATGTCAAAAAGCTATGCACTTGAAATCATATCTAGGTAGCTATTGAGAATATACATCACAGCCGAGCATTGATTGACACTGAATCTTTTGGTAATTAAGAATATGAGGTCTGACACATTTCAAGACATTTCCTACTTGGAACCTTTACATCTGCTTGTGAGTGTTATTCAGCTGAGAAAAACACTGAGAACAATTCTTAATTTGATTCCTATAACTTTAAGAATGGACTGTTTGTTGGTATTTTATGTAAAAGACTACACTTCCTTATCCTGACTTTATTGCATTACTCTAAATCTCTTGATAATTCCGAACAATTTTTTACAACAAAGTTTGATCCCAATGACATTGAAAGTGGACAATAAGCCTCTGCCAATAAAAGCTATGATGTGCCACATATCTCATAGCAAAGACTAATTCTCTAATTACCTTTCCAAGTTGTAATATCTCATGCTGTTTTTTGGGTTTCACATTTGCACGAAAGCAGGCATTGAGTGGAAGGTATTGTCCACATTTGATGTCAGCTCTGGCCTGTTTCTGAGTTGTGACATCAGAATAAGGTGAAACTATTATCTTCTTTTCATTGTTTGGATCAGCTGTAAAAAGTCCTTCACCAACTGTATCATGCTCCAGATCTACCTCTTTTCTGCACAATGAGAGAGCATGTGTAGACTCTCTGAATGCTAGCAAAGTCAAAGGAAGATCTTTCCTAGAAAAAGTTAAAATACAAAATTTACTTGTCTGATGAATATTTGTTTAGCTTATTGTAACCCTGGTAAAAACTAGCCACAATATACTTCTCAGTTACAGAGAACCTCTCTTAAGCTTGATCGGTTCATTCTTAGATTTTGTTATCACATCAAATCAATTAATTGAATGTAGCATTATTACTTCAAAAGTTTAAACTTCTCTTTCTCATCAGTCACTTAATAACATGCTTGTTACAATATTAGCTCCCTTTTGACAGGAGTTGAAAGTTGAACTCTTAAATGTACCTGTTTGGGACAGGCAATGAGCAGTCAAGAAGAAAAGCTAGATCAGGAGGGTCAAGTTGTGATAATCCATCCCTCCAGCCCTCTGGAAGTCTATCCCATTGTCCGTCTGTGAAAAAATCCTGTCAATATAAAGTTTACACATTAATAATACTGACGAAATGATTGCTTGATTTGCCAACAGGTTTAATATTTAAGCCATGCTAACTCTCATCACCTAACTGTCATATCATCCATCTAAGGGGAGCCCTCCCCCATCATATTATTCATCAAAGTCCTTACTGATGTGAGATTCCTTGCCTCACACTCTGGGGTTGAGAATGCAGGGAGGGCACACCTGGTGGGCACTCCCGTTTCAGAAAAATAACAACATAAGAGAGTTAGCACATTTCTTATTATAATAATTATCCCTTTGGTGTGAAAAAGAAGGATCTCAATCTAAAAAGAAAGATCATTAAGTTGTAAACACTCAGCAAGACTCTTGTTTCTCCATTCAATAATAATCTTCACCTTTATGTTGAGATCATCAAGTGGATGAAAGAAGCCTTGATACTCTTGTCCAGGGCAAGAGAAATATACTATATTGTTGTCAGTGCTATCAATGGCAGTCCTGCAATGTTTCTCTGTACCATGAGTAAACCATATTTAAGATCATTATAGATTTGGTGCAGGAAAATACAAAAACCTGTTAGGTAGGAATATTGACTCTATTTTGAAATATACCATTTTTTTTACTGAAATATGTATTCAGATCATAATTTCAATTTTGAGACTTCAATGCATTCAGAGGACATCTTTCTCCTATTTCCAAAGAGAACAGGAATAGATTTGAAAAAAGTGCAACAAAGACCCATTCGTCTCCATTCTCTAGTATATTTCCCTACTTATAGGCAGATTGGGTAGCAATAACACTAAACAGCCAATATAAAAATGTCAATTAAATATCAAATAACTCATTGTCTGAATTACATTTGTGTGACCTGTTTCTTGTATAATTAATATGCAAGCTGACAATTTCAGAAATGTTTGTAAATATCATATTTGTCTAGTTTTCTAATTTTACAGGTAAGAAAGGCGAGACGTTTTTTTACTCATTTGATTACTTGCAATATTCCTATGACGTTGGCAGTACATGAGCTAGTGATAAGGAACTGACTTTGTTAAGGTTACACTCTATCAACGACATACACTGTACTATAAAAATCATTCATATTAATAAGCAAAAATATTCCACAAATTGCGATCGGTGACTGTACAGTGCTCAAAAAAATATCAGCACACAGTGTCCGGGGAGCGAGGAAATGAAAAAAGCAATTGTTAACATACCGATATGTAAGCATTGATTATCCACCTGTATGCATTTATGAACTTCACCAACTTCTCAACTTGTTGTTTAATCAATTTTATCGTGTTACTATCACAAGAACGTAGATTCATAGCAGCCGAAAGCAACTAAACGAACCTCCGGCACAAAAGAGTTGCAATTCGTAATCAGGTGCGTTCGGGTAGCTGGAAATTGTTAACTTGCATTTCCTAAAGTTATAGGTGATGTTCGGGACATACAGGTATAGTGATTGGCTATGAAATATGCACTCGTACATGGATATATATATATATATATTTATAAACTACGTAACAATTACATTAATAGTAGAGAGATAAACACTGTGTAAATAAAAAGTTTCCCCTGATTTTCAACCGTACCAAGCAGCGGAGGTGGCGCTAAACAGGACCGGTGCTGACTAGGGCATTCGTGTGTTATATCGTTTTATAGCATATTTCTGTTAAAGGTTTGTCGAATTCTATCAACAAATGACTTAAAGGTGAAAATTCAAAGAAAATATATCAAAACGCCGATCTAATATGACTTTAAATAGCGAAAGTTATACAAATGTCGTGAAGTGGAAATGCAGGACAATAGTTGCCTCCCTTCAATCGTGCTCCGTGTTGTAGGACCACATGGCTATAGAAGGTCGCTTTGAGAGAACTTGAAGAAAGAATATCAATATTTGTCCCTTTTCTAGCAATTCAATCTTTGATAGAAAAAAGATACGACGAACGCTAAACCACAAGAAATTAAAATAAACAAACCCACAACGTGAAAAGAAACACTATATCTTCAAAATTGCACAACCAACTGAAAAAACACGCCCGTTTATTATTTTATGAGAATGTTCATGGTATAATTGAAGAATTTGTGTCTTCTGATCTTCTGTTGTTACTAATGATGAAGACAAAGCTAACTTATTAAATTACTATTTTTGTAATATTACACAAGTCGATGATAGAAACACTGCAGTTCCTGTAGTTGAGTCTAAAACCAACAAAACGCTTAGTTCTGTAAGAGTAAATAGAAATGAAATCCGTGATGTTTTACAGATATTGAAGCTCGGAAAGGCCTCGGGTGAGGATGGGATCAGTCATTATATGTTAAGAAATACATCACAAACTGTTTGTATTCCACTTGAAATTATTTTTAACACGTCTTCATCGTCAGGTATATTTCCAGCCAATTGAAAAGTAGCAAAAGTTATGCCACTGTTTAAAAAGGTGACAGGCATTCTCCCTCTAGCTATAGACCGATTTCTCTTCTATCTACTGTTGGAAAAGTCTTTGAGCGTGTTATTTTCAAACATCTTCATAATTATTTCGTAGAAAATTCATTGTTTTATAAACACCAGTCTGGCTTTATGCATGCGCATTCTACTGTATATTAACTCATTGAAATTTATCACAATATTTGTATAGCTCTTGAAGAGAAAAAAAACATGTATGTATGGTCTTCTGTGATATTTCTAAAGCATTCGATCGTGTTTGGCATAAAGGTTTGATGGTAAAATTAAAATCGTACGGACTTTGTGGTGAGCTGTTTACGTGGCAAGAAAACTATGTATTTAATAGGCAGCAGAAAGTTTTCCTAAATTGTGTTTATTCTCAATTAGGTTCAAACTCAGCAGGGGTTCCTCAAGGTTCCATTCTTGGACCACTTTTGTTTCTTATATACATAAATGATATTGCCGATGTCTTTGGATCATCTGCTCGTCTTTTTGCAGACGATACTTCTTTATTAAAGTCTTCCTTATCATGTCTTGAAATCCAAACTGTCTTAAATAGGGATCTTGATTCTTTAAACTTTTGGGCTAAAACTTGGTTGGTTACTTTCAATCCAGACAAAACTGGGGTAATATTTATTTCTAATTCGATTGACATAGATGATGATTTAGACCTGAAGTTAGAGTATGCGTGTGAATTGTGGGACGGTTGCACGAATACTGAATTAGAAAAATTAGAGAAAGCCCAAAGAGAAGCTGCTCGTATCATAACTGGCCTTCCTTCTTTTGCACGTATAGAAGATTCACATTTTGAAACTGGTTTAGATACACTTTCGAATCGTCGAAAACGAAGAAAACTTCAACTTTTATTTAAGATGCATAACAAGCTAACTCCAGATTATTTAAACGATCTCTAGGGGGACAAACATAAAAATGGTAATAAAAGTCTTCACATTGGTTGCTGCATCTGCATTCAGCTGCATTACCATTTGTTCTAAAAAAAAAATCGTAATGAAGAGATCTGGCAGGATTTCTCAAACGGAAATGAAGTATGTTTAAATTACGTAAATCTCATAACTAAAAGCATTTTTCATGTATTATTTCTGTCTTACTGATAATTGATTTAAATGTATTGAGAGAAGGAGAGTCTGATGTTTTATTGAGGAAAGAAAGTATTTATTCGCGATTTGTTTTTGTAAGTGTACGTTAAATGTCGTACAACAGATAACGTGTTTTACACTGTAATATGACACCTGCAGTATTTGTTTCACTTTTTTTTTATAAATAATGTATAATCGTTACAAAAGTTCATCTTGGAATCAAACAATGATTACTGGTTAGTCATATATCAGTCAATAAAAGAAAATCCAATTTGCATATTTAAATAACTCATTTAAATATGTTGTCAAATTTGGACATAGTGACGTTTATAGGCCCCCTTTTTTAAAGCAAAGACACGCCCAACATCCACATTCTCCCTTGGTGCATTTCTTATATTGGTGTCATGACGTCGACTATATGGTTTTAGAGTCATTTGCATACATGGTGCTGTTCCACTTAAAGTTCAATGCAACGAATAAAATCAACCTGTAAGGAGGTATTCATGTGTAAAATAACCAACTACGTAGCAATATTTTCGCGAAAAAACTGAAATAAAGTGAGATTTTGAAGCTATTATGCTCTGGTGTTCCGGGTCTCTTTCACATACGTTCTATATACGTTACCTATCCCGTATTACCTAATGATAGCATGTAAAAATAATGAAATAAAATCAGTTAAGCGGATGTGAAGACCGAAATTCATTACCACAATTTACAAAATGCAAATTGTCACATGAACAAAGCTCCCTGAAAGAGTGCTCCGCTTGTGCCCATTCCTAATTGCTTCCATAAATGCGTTCGTGCCATGTGCAGTACGGTATACTGAGGTTTTGAACAATGTTAGGGTTTCTTGTGAGCACACGTTAACCGTCTCTTTATTTTATGGTATTTATGAATGAATTTCCGTCATTGTCTGTGAAAAAGTTTATCTATAAGAAAATGCTTGATTACAAAAGGTTCTGTCTTTAATTCGTTTGTTTAACTTTTTATCATTTGTTGTAAATTGCATCCTGTCGATGTAATGTATGATCTAGGGCGCCTTAGTATGAATGTCAAGGTTATTTGACTCAGATTGGTCTATATAGACATCTTTGATATAACCTCGAGAAATAGGTGACCATGACAGGTACTTGTTTTCAGCTAATACAAATAGACTTCACGGACAGTGGAAGAAAGTCGGTATGCATCCAGTTTCGAACAAAATATAAAAATGCAATTTATATCAAATGATATCTTAAGTGGAAAAAGAGAGAGAGAGAGAGAGAGCGATATTTACTTGGATTTCATGGCTAAATAAGTACATTCCTACAAAGTACATTTTAAATATATCTTATACTATAATATATATTTAACCGCACCAACCGAATCATGCTATCACACAACACAAGCATGCTCGCAAGCCATGAAAATTCGGACACACGTTAAACTAATTGGAAATAAACAATAATGAGATTTCATAAAGAACATTGAACTGGAACGTGACCTATCTAAAACCCGCGAGTACTCAATATGTACTGTTGGACATATATAAATCCTTATTATCATCACTTGTGTAGCCTCCATGGCCAAGCAATAATTTATGTAAACTTAACGGCAAACATTTAGGAAGGTTTCTAAATATGGCAAGACGTTGGTCGTTATATCTACCACATGCAAAGAAGAAATGATGAACATTTTCATAAGGATATCGACATGCACAAGAAAGAGAGCCAAATAGATTAACGTTGAAGAGATCTTCATTTAAAGGGCTGCATTTATGGCGGTTGGTTAATAAAATATTTAGCTTACGATCTCCAACTAGGTAGTTATCAGGTACATTAAATGTTCCATTTTGTTGAGAAAGACGGTCTTTGATATCTTAAAAGAGGGAGCAGTTTTAATATTAGTGTCTAGACCATTCCACAATCTTAACGTAGAAGCGCAAGCCAAGATCAGGGAATCTAACGTCCTATATCATATGATTTTCTGTGTTATATATACATGTATATAAACGAAAAAACAAATGTATTAAGTCTTTGATAAACTGAAAACAATTATGAACAAGAAATAAAATTTAATTTAAACAGAGACGGGCTATACTTCCCAATAGGGACAAACATTTAAGTATGAAAAATAACAAAGTGCAATAAGAGAGTGATGATTCTTGTGCACTGCCCTCATTCTTAGGTAGATAGGTCATTAGTTATATTTATCAGTACGGAACACATGGTCATATTCTTGGACATTTTCAACTGTTTTCTAATAATAAAGTTTTTAACAGGTCTTTTTCAAGCTCTATAGGCTTAATCACCATGACACGAAGTTCTGTTTTCCTGGAGACAGTTTGATTTGACAGTATTTGGAAGAGCTACTACCCCTTGTTGTTTTCTAATGTTAACCTTGTCCGAAGATGATCAGTTTTCAATCAATTTCTTTCAAACTTGGCAGGCTTAAATTACCAAGACATAAGTTATGTTTCCCCTCACAGCAGTGTGATTAAACTAATTTGAAGGAGAAACTGCACTTTGTTTATTAGCATTTGAGTTTATATGAAGATCTCCTTCCCCAGTTTAACTTATATTATCTGGAACTTGGGAAGATTTAATAGTATTACGTGAGAAGTTGTTTTTCTGACTGGTATGTGATATTACAATTTTGAAGAGTAATTGCCCTTTGTTTTGTTTTTTTTTTTATTATTTTTGTATTTGTTTTTCGTTTGCTTGTTCTTTTGTTTTTTTTATCCAGATATCTCATCCAGTTTTCAATCATTTTCTTTAAAACGAGGTAGGCCTGAAAACCCTAATATGAGATTGTGTTTTCGTGAATAACCTTTTGATTGAAGAATATTTCAAAAATCTTCTCCTGGGATATATTTCAGTTTTCCTACCATTTCTTTAAAACTTGGTTTGCATTAATTTACTATTAAAACGTATAGCACTGTCCATTTCACTTATCACCATTTCCATACTGAGAGCATTCAGGTTTCCGAACTTATAGTCAACACCTGAGGTCAAACCATGTGAACTTCATTTCATCATTTATGTACATTGCATAAATGTAAATGTACCAGGCATGTGACAAATCGATTTTGATGCAGACACAAAGTTTTCAGTTTTTATTAAATCTGTCTCCATGTGAACGTACAAAATATTATAGACATACATCTCAAATGTTTAATTTAGTAGTCCCAGAAACAACGAGTGCTTCACAAATGATAATATCAATGACGACAGACCAGTACAGGAACTGTAGAATGATGTATAATATAATCACTGACGCTCCCAAGAAATGTACGTCGTAACGTGCCAAGACCTCTACAACCGGTTAATATCATGTTTGCTTTCCGGTCCTGCGCAATGCCAATTATCGTAGGACCTGGTTCTCCAGACAATTTCAAAACTTCCCCTTTCACCTTTGAAATAAATACACAAATAATGAGACTTGTATACATGAATGTTAATATCTGGGGAAATGGCAGATGCGGAGTCGGACAAAAAAAATGTAATGAAGTGAGGTTGGGGGTTTCCATTTAGAGAATGTGCGCCATCTCTTACCCGAAATCCTGGATCCTCACCTGTATTTATATCATTTTCAAATTTTAGCTTTTTATAAGGGAAACAATCTCAACTTGCTTGCATTACTTACAACATTCCTACGCTGTTGGCAGTTCATGGACTGGTAATACACAAATGACATAGAAAAGGTTACACTGTAGCGATGCCATGCAATGGTAAATTTGCGTGTATGCTCTGGTGAAAATAGTTACAACTACTGTTTATATGATATTTGGTATTAATCTTTTTGATTTCAGGAAACTTGAAACTTGCTCAAAAGGTACACAAATTTCCTATATTCAAATGTCGCTATTTACCTTGGAAGTACTCAAAGTCCTCTGTAGCTTTTCTACTGTGCTGTCTGCGCGCGTTTCCTCGTCTCGAAACGCCTGCATTATAAGTTTTAAGTCAGCAGGCTCCCAGAGAGCTATACAAAACAAAACAAAAACTTCAACAGTATTTCCAGCACGGATACAGAGGTAGTTGTACAGAAATATATTTCTCAAAACACTATAGCTGTTCTTGTAAAGAAGAAATATAATTAACCGATATTTGACCTCGTCCATGGGATTAAAAATTCCATAACATCATGACACGTGCAATAAATAATTGCCGCCATTTGCATTCATTGTCGTCACGTTTACAATGTATGAATATATATCTTGTAACCATGTCTCCTGCTTGCTTTGCAATGTTGTTTTTTTTCTGAATTTTATTGTACAATTGCTTTCTGAAACTGGAAAATAGGAAAAATACGTCGTCTAAATACGAAACAAAGCAATATTCGAAGCCCACTTTCGTTCCAATTCATTATGGTTGACCACTAAGGTTGAATTGAGAAAGAGTCCATCTGACATAGTAAGGGAACTTGATACTGTTTTGCAAACAGATTGCAAACAAAAAACTTTATTATTGAGCAACCAGATTCGTCGTAAGTTCATTTATAATTATATTTTTTTCTGCTACACTTTCAATAAAATTTGCTTTGCTTCGATTTATCACAAAATAACATTTAAGTGTGTTTATCTTCACGGATAACTATTTGTTTCATCTACTCACAACCATAGGTATTTAACTTCCGGTGGTCCACACAATGGACGACGATGACGTAACTAGAGGCACCGTGGACGTTTTCAACGTACCCTATTCAGACAAAAAAAAAAAAAAAATAGACAAAACGAATGTATATTTGTTAGTGTGATTTACCGGAACAAACAACATGTACTAACCAAATAAAAATAAGGCAAAACTATACGTTTCAAGTTTATGCTTGAAAAACGAAGGTCGTAAGGTAGAAGTTTTTTTTTTACATTGACTTCTCAAGACTTCTTGTTGGGCTGTTAAAAATTGTCGCATGTTTTTGAATCATGAGATGATTACTATGCTGAATATCAGGCACAATCTGTCAGAACATCTATGCTGACTGATTTTTGAAAAGGATAGTCACTCCTGTTCTATAATATACTGAGAAGTCCAGATAGATGGCACAATCTGTCAGAACATTTATGCTGACTGATTTTCTAAAAAGGATAGTCACTCCTGTTCTGTAATATACTGAGAAGTCCAGATAGATGGCACAATCTGTCAGAACATCTATGCTGACTGATTTTCTAAAAAGGATAGTCACTCCTGTTCTATAATATACTGAGAAGTCCAGATAGATGGCACAATCTGTCAGAACATCTATGCTGACTGATTTATTTAAAAGGATAGTCTCTCCTGTTCTATAATATACTGAAAAGTCCAGATAGATTGCACAATCTGTCAGAACATCTATGCTGACTGATGTGCGAAAAAGGATAGTCTCTCCTGTTCTATAATATTCTGAGTAGTCCGGATAGATGGACAACAGATAAAATGATTCATATATAACAAACTGAACTAACGTTCCAGTCACATGTACTTCCCAGAAAGGTGTCGAGACATCAAGGGACATCTGTCTGTAAATGTCATGCGTCTACGTGAATTTGCCTCCGCTGTACTGATACTTCATCGGATCGCCAGTAAACAACATGAACAGATTTTAAGGTATGTTTTTGGCAAAATGATGGGAAAAATATAAGGGTGAATAGCAAAAAATAGGAACAGTCGAGGAATCGGAATAACCTACATAAAACGCTGACCAAACAGATCAAGCAGGAAATAAACTGCACTGATATAAACAGGAAATAAACTAAGTGTACTGATGAAGTGGGAAGTAAACAACTGGTAATATGCTGGAATTAAAACGTACTGATAAACCGGGAATTACGTGTACTGATGAAACCGGAATTAAAGCGTACTGATAAACCGGTAATAACGTGTACTGATGAAACCGGAATTAAAGCGTACTGATAAACCGGTAATAACGTGTACTGATGAAACCGGAATTAAAGCGTACTGATAAACCGGGAATTACGTGTACTGACAAAAATTAGGGATAAATTTGGTGTAGTGATAAAACCCTAGCTGTTCTGATAAACCGGAAATATACAGGGTGTGCTGATCACCGATCGTTAAAAAAAGTTATTGTTATGATACTTGAAACCGGAAGTAAGCAACGCTGAACGTGTACAAACAGGGTATACAAATATGATAAAGCTAGTGCTGTACTTTATACGAAATCACTCGAGTCAAAGATTTCAAGTTCCGCATGTTTCGAAAGGTATCTTACATTTGAAGGCTTTCTCTGCTTCTTCACTTCCGTCCATGCACACGATGTTGATCTTTTGACTCTCCGTGTCCGCCATCATTACACCTCCAGTTTCCACATGATACACTTTATATCAAAGGTCAGCTACACTTCTTCACCGACCTAAACATAGCTTGTTATCAGTTATGCTTTGTATTACGGCACAGATTATGACCTATGTGTATTTACTCAATTATAGAATTTGACTGTTCTGCATTTATCATGTACGTTTTAAATGCCATTTTGATAGTTTCAAAACCTACCATGTGTATCCTGCACATGGGATATATATATAACAAAATGTATGCTGACATCAGCTACAAAATTTGTATGTAAAGAAGGATGAATCCTTTTTTTATCGAAAATTCGTTATAAAGAACACATGTTTGAGAGTTAAAATTGTCATCACAAGTTACAGATACATTCTGCGATGACCATACAACCATAAAACAAACACTGTTGGAGTCCAGTTTACTTCCTCTTCCAGGACAATGTAATTAAGATATAACACGGGTTCAGATAATACCTGTGGACAAAGACCCCATACTTTGGTGATCATTTACAGCCTTTGGTCACAAATGTCATCTTATAAAGTTGTAATTACTGATTTTCCACGACGCACAAACTAACATTTTGAATGCTTCATTTACACATTATACACACTTATATTTAAACTGTGCACCAAGGAGGAAGGGAAATTTAATAGAATTGTTTTTTTTAAATGTCCGGATTAAAAAAAAATATTGGTGCTGTTCCAGATCACTTATAAATTGTCATTTTTTATAAATTTGCTATAGATTTAACAATAGCATTCTATTTTCTTCATTTTTGGCGGATGGTAGTTTTGTCCGACAATGTGTTTCACAGCTGTATTGATGAATTAAGGCTTTTCTGTATAACACAGTCAATGTTATCCAGGTTAGAGGTGAAGTGACTTATTCACCTTTGGACCAGGCAGACTTACAGTTAAAATTCATAACAAAATGGTACATACAATTATCGCATGGCCAGTATTTATATTATTTTGATGGGTTGTTGATGAGGTAAATAGGGATTCTCCAATAACTATGTGACTACAGCAGTGTCATGATATTCTACAAACCTTATCTTTCTATCAAGTGGTTCAAGTATATATTCATACACATCATCTTTATTCTTTTACAAATTTGTGTTTCGGCTTCAAGAGGCGAATTTGGCAATACACCCATATGCCTGACGCCTTCTAAGTCCATCTACATTTCACAACTATTAGGTAGAATTATTTTTAGACTTGCTTTATTTTTTAAGGTTTCATTGTCATGTTGACCTTCGAGGCTATTATATTGTAGGGTAAATACAGTTCTTTAAACATAATCATCATCATTACTCTCCAGACTTCATTCCTTGTCCCATTGTCATGTGACAGCAATTGTCGGTGCTAAAAAACAAGGTCATTTAAACTATGAAGAATTTCCATAGCCTTACGAACTGCATTTTATCGATCTATTGCTGGATAAGTACAGTTAATACAAGGCTAAAAATAGAACAAAATACCAAGCTAGGAAATGAATATTTCATTGAATTCCTTATTTAGGATTTCATGACAAGATTTTGACAAGTCCCTCTGATTACATCAGATCTAAAAATACAGAAACAGCAAGTATACACTATCATACCAAAGAACAAGCGGCTGCTAACACATTGGCGTGTTTAGTAAATTCCAAGCGTGTCCTCATTTCAAGTTTAGTGACTTGATATTTTCTCGACCACTTGTACCAGGATATTAAGAAATAAGTAAAGGACAGTAGTTAGAATAAACAAAGTGAGAACACTTCCTGTCTATTGAAAGATAAGGATATTTTACTATATCAGGAAACATTGTCTAGAACTGAAACAGGATCTGAAAGTCAATATTGAATGTAGCAAAATTCATGTTTTGTTGTGTTTATATCGATATCTTTTTGCGTGAAATTTCATTGAGGAAAGAAAAGATTTAATTGAGGAAAGAAAACCTGTTAGGTAATACAAACAAACACACTATGACATTTTAGTGTTTGTGTGTATCCCAGGACAATATAGTAAATCATGTTTCAAGTAGGATTATCAAACCAAATAGGTAAGTACAAGCATACAAACTGGCTTACCAATTTTCAGACTGCAATGTTTTAATTTCATTTCTATAAACATTAATTTAAGTATATTTCTCTTATTTATTTTGTGTATAAATTCAGCATGATTACTCAAAATAAATCCATTTTCATATGAAGCAGTGAAAAGTTGGATGTGCTATTTACCACCCTGTTGACGATGTCGCTAAATCGCCAAAGTGATGATATCCTTATATCGCCATAGTGATGATATCATTATATCGCCAAAGTGATGATATCCTTATATCGCCATAGTGATATCATTATATCGCCATGGTAATGATATCATTATATCGCCATAGTGATGATATCATTATATCGCCATGGTGATGATATCATTATATCGCCATGGTGATATCATTATATCGCCATGGTGATGATATCATTATATCGCCATAGTGATGATATCCTTATATCGCCATAGTGATATCATTATATCGCCATGGTGATGATATCATTATATCGCCATAGTGATGATATCATTATATCGCCATGGTGATGATATCATTATATCGCCATGGTGATGATATCATTGTCACCATAGTATCACTGTTATATACTTTTTTATAAGTTGGCACTCAAAAGTATTATTGACCGTTGCAAAATGTTAGGTCAATTCTAGTTCACCTGTTCACAGGTTACATTGGACAAAAGTGTTCCCAATAACCAAAACGCCCAGGGTTGTTGAACTGGATTAATAGTATGATGGGATAAAGGGATTTAGTGTTTATTCAAATGAATGATCTTGAAGCATTTTCAAGGTCATATAGTGTCAAATATGCCTGAATCTTACAACTTTTCCAGCAGTATTCAAAAGCCAAGGGTTATGACACCAGACATGATAGTATACTGGGATGAAGGCTTACAATTGAGTCAGTTCAACTCAATTATGTTGGTGTTCTTCCATGTTTACTGCAGACAAATTGGATTAAATCTTTTGAATGAAAAAGTGCTGAATGTTATGATATCTGGCTAAAAACTCAGTTCTGGTGAATAGTCTTGATCCTAGCTCACTTAAGTCAAATATGTCGAAATCTTTCAACGATATCTTTTTGAAAGCCAAGAGGTCCTCATTTTTGTTATTTCACTTTTACACTACATATATACTGTAAGGTGAATGAGAAAGCTTCAGAACAAACTCTCCTGGTATTGTTATAGGCCTTTATAGCTTGCCCTCTGTTTTTAGTGACTATACTTAATGACGTATGTCACCGTATCAAAATAACATAGAGGTATCACAGGGCAAATATTGTAATATAATATACATCGCAGTCAATCCTTTTACCCCCACTGTTAGTTTGACTGGATTACCTTCCTTTTCAGATATGTATCAGGTAGACAATTGAATATGATGTCATTTTGATCATAACACCACTAAAGAATACAGACAAATCAAGTACTGGTTAGCCTGTTATGTATATGAATACTTTGTCTGTTTAAAGGTAAAACAAGACAAGATGGATGATGAGGATGTGTATGATCTGACGATTGAGCCAAACAGATATACTCTTATTAAGTACACAGCAACGGAACATATTGTGGACGAGCTGAGACGAAAGACAACCATCACCATTAATGACTATGACGAGATCCATACCTGTGCTGCACGAAGACGGAGAACAGGTATGGGCTGTATTTAGAAGGTGGTACTTGGCTAATCAGAACTGAAGGATTATAACAGAAAAAGGATTTGTTACATATATATATATATTGGACTTCTAAAAATACTTAACTTATCCTAATATGTTCCCAAAACTTAACAAGCCACACAGGAGCAAATGACTGCCTGAAATGGTGACTTTGTCTACATATTAGTCTAGACAAAATATGTTATATATAAAGGGGTGTTTTATGAATTATAATTGTGTTAATGTATAAGCCTAATTAAAGTATCACTCCAGATTCAAAACATTATACAATCGTGGATGTCTCCCTTTTAATTTCTTTTTTTTGTCAATGTTTTAGTAGAGGGAGCGCCATTGCAAGCAGTTCTCTATTCCTGGAAGATATAGAAACACTGGGAATGGGGCTTATTTGCAGGATGACTGAGACCTATTTGTCGAGAAGTACAGTATTACAACCAGTAACTTTGGGGCTCAAATTTCATATAGGAACATTAAGATATCAAATCATAATACATACAAGCTGACAAAGGAAACACTATCTAGTAGAAGTCTGCAAAGGTCACTATGTAAGATTTTTTCCAGTTTTTGAGGTTAAAATAAAATTGTAAAAAAAAAAAAAAAAAAAACGATATATGAAATAGTTTTTACTCTTAGATAAAAAAAAACTGTTGGTCCAGTGTCGAGGTCTATCTGTATGTAGGTTAATTTTAGTTTGAACAAGTTTTACCCAAGTCATAATGTCAAGTGTTTGCACTTTTCGTTCAATATGGAGTTATTAGCCATTTGCCGTGAATGTATTGATATTTTACTCTTTGCTTAACAGCTTTGTGGACAAAAATTCAATACAATCACCACATTTGGAAATGTGCTTATGATCTTTATTTCGATGCAACCTTTAATTGATCAATGCCTCTTTTCAGTTTTCCTTTTATATACTTCATATAAAGCACTGCAACTTGGATATGTACACATGTACATGCATATTACAAACCATTTGTTTAAAAGAATGTTTCACATCTAGTTCAGACAAGAATACAAAACAAATTTGATTTGAAAAAAGAAATTAATGTTTCTCTATTCAGCAAAACTTGTAGACATCTTACAAACAAAATGGAACAGAGGAGTGCAGGAATTTCTCAAGACCATCCAGCATTACAGAAGGTTACCCCTAAAAGGGACACTGAATCCATTGGTTTACATGTAAGTTAAATTCTATAAATAGGATAAGCCAGTGTTAGTGATATAGAGATAACACAAAATGTGGGGGTTGTATATGGAATTTGTTTCACTTGAGTGAGTTATTTTTC